CAAATACTGAGGTAAACTCTCCCCAGTTTTCTTATCAACGAATATTTTTTGGGGGGTATTATAAACTTGTAAATCGCGCAATCTGCAGGTTGATAAGAACATTTTACTTTTGTGTTATTAAGAGTTTTTATAACATCGAGTTTTGAGTATTTTATAACCATTTTTTCAATATATTTTTTTTTTTCATAGCAAGTGTTTGTGAAAAATTCTTATTTTTGATACATTCACTGTTTTTTAGACGGCATTAAGAGCTGTGGGACTGAATGATGAAACTCCGTTTAGTTTTGGAAATATCATTCCTCATCTTGAATTCCATTGGAGCTCTAGTAATATCGATGTATGTAAATTAAAGTCTCTATATGATAAGGTAAGTTAATGTTGGTGTTCTACTTAAAAACGTACGTACACCGCTGTAATAACTTTTGAACATTTGTTAAATTGTTTTTATATCTACCTTACCATTACACACAGTCATTACACAAATTTGTCTATCATCGCATCTTCTTAGGAAAAATCATCTCATTTTATTAAATATAGTTTTTATCTTTATTATGAGTTTCTCATTTGATTAATTTCCCAGCTCTCTTTGTGCTTAAAATTTGAAATCAATAAATCCCTTTTTCAAGGACGGCCGTGAATCGATAATTTGGAGGGTCCATATTTATAATTTCATATGTTATAATCCGTAATCACTGTTGATTTCATTAAGAACATGCATATATGAATGTTAGCACCCAACCCCCGTGTCCCCAATTATCAGTCTGCCGTCGAGCATGCCTTTCGAAAAAGAATGTAATAGAATGATAAACTCGTGCATACCTCACGATTTCAAGACGTTTCTATTGCTGATATATACCATTTCTAGAGTGGTGTTACGGTGGATTATGAAAGACCATTTCGTGTTGTATTATCATGTAAACATCCTGGTGAAGTTATCATTAAACTAAAAGCTGTCTTTGCCGATCCTACTTATGAGCAAGCGATACTGACCGCTGATCTTTTTGATGACGTCAGAATACAGGTTATCTTACCGTCTTCGGATGTTACGTACATTAATTTAATACGAAAAATTTCTTTTTAAAGAAAGACTCACGATCGTGTTCTGTTGTGTAGGTGTATGAAAAATTACAGCTTGTTGTTCCCAGAAATGGTCACCTGTTGCTCCCTCATGACGTCACTACAAGAATTAAGACAAAAAGGTAGACATTACGTCACTCTGATTTTTTAATTTTGACGTAATGACAGTTGATACGCAGATCATTTATATCTAATCCTCAATCAGTAATACATGATGAATAATGAATAATCATCAATATTACGTATGATGTCATTTAGATATAATCCTTATAAGGTTTTCACGAGGAATGATTATAAAACGATAATTCATTGTATTATTTATTAAAGTCTGCTAAGTTAAGTCTTTCTTTTACGATAGCGAATCAATAATAAATATTTCTTGCGTGGTTTCCAAAAAAATATTTGTAACTGAGTGAGCTGTTTGTATTATACTTTCATTTGAAATGTTTTTATGCGAATGATGCATGGATATTAGATGAAGTTTAATTTAGCTACCATTTAATCATTCGATCTATATTTAAAACTATTTATTACTAACTATATCACAGTTATTGTAAAATTGGAAATCTTTTTTCCTTCTCAGAGATGGTGGCAGACTTTCTTACAGTATAATGAACGTTTGTTCTCAATCACGTGACAAAGACTCCCAAGCACTGCTGACCATCGATCATCGCGGACATGTTAAGACCGGAATGATATCCGGAACGGCAGGAATTGTCGTGACGTCAAGAGAGGATTTTGGAGTTAACCAAACTGTCGTAGTCCATGTTGAGGTGAGTGTGTACTTCATGTAGTCCATGTGAAAGACGGCTGATGCTGTGGTATTTTATGGAAGTTGAGTACTCATAAGTTCTATATTAAAGCTAGTCTTATAAAACCAAAAATTCAATAATTTGAATCAGTGTTTTTAGTACTACATTAAAGATGATGTATCTTAATTTTTCTGTAATACGTAGGTAAAGTCAGTGTTATCTATCTCATTGGAGCCTTTATCTTCAGTTTATACTTTGTTTGAGAAACATCACGCGCTTCCTGTTGGCATAACTGCTATATTTTCCATTTCTCTTCATGACAACATTGGACGAAAGTTTGATTCTGCTAATGTTTACGTAAAACATAGACTGAACAGGTTGCCTCAATTCAATTTCAAAGAAAGGAGAGCTTTGCAGATAAACTAAAATATTCATTTTGACCTCGTTAAAGGTTTGATTCCATTCATGTTACACAAGGTCAAGATAATGGCACTTATTCAATACGCGCTCATAATGATGGAGAAGCAATTTTGAATGTACGTAAAGATTTTGTTCATCTAATAATCATATCGTATAAATCTTCAGAAAAGCTTTTCATGACATCACTGGATAACTTTTAACATCAGTCATATTTTTAGAACCGAAGCGTAGACAATTATGTTTGTTTGTGTTTAAACATTTCATCAGAGCACAGGCATTCATGTTTAAAGAAGTGGAGAAAATAGACGTTCTTCTCAACCAATAAACAAAAAAGTTATTGCTCATAATTTTTCACTTACAGGTTGAAAAAATTTGTTGTCAAAACTCCTTCAGGGTGGAATGCATTTAGACTTTGTTTTGTGGCGCGTTTGAAAATTTCGTTAAAACGTTAACAAAACAATATCTTGCAATATTCTGATCATTGTTGTTTGTGTTTGAAATATGTCAAACATATTTTCCTGTGACAGATGTTCATTTGTTGCCTAATATCTGGAAAGCCTTCGTTATTTTTTCATCAATTTTCTATTTTTTGTTTATTTATATGCTAAATTGAGCGTATGCCCCTTCGCTAAAAATAATTTTCGCAAATTTTATCGTTCTATTTTTCACTGCAGGTTTGGTTAGTGTCATCACCGCATATTGTGGATTTTATTCATCTTAAAGCGACTGAAGCAATCACTCCATTTACTCCTATATATTATCTTGGAGAGATGATTTGTTTTAAAGAAACCGTCATCGGCGATGAAGGTAGTAAATTATTTTAATTATACAATATTCATGCATGAATTTTCATATTTAATGTTACGAAAATTATGACATGATTTTTTAAGATTCTGGTGTTTGGTGGACATCGAAAGAAAACGTGCTTAATATAGATGGAGTAACAGGAGTCGCTATGGCTACAGGAAGTGGAAATACTCTAGTTTATTACAATGCATCGTCATGGCAACCAACGTATATTGAAGTTAAAGTGGTTCTATCTGATGTTGATATTTATATTGAAGACATAAAAACTATCTCTAACTCACTAGGTCCCAATATTAATGGTAGTTATTTGGTTCGTGTTGATTTTGCTTCTCAACGAAAAACTCCGCTGACTGGCTGTTCTGATGTCATCATACAAAATGAGCCTGCAGCATCCAGTGTTGAGTTTCCGTTTTCTTGCTCTCTGTCGTTTGAACATTTCACCAGTTTAAGTGTGAACAATGTTTTTTATGTGAAACCAGGTTATAAACTTGGCAAGAGCGCGTGTTTCATTTTCACAAGAACTTTAAGTAAAGATGACGCAATTCTTCTTACGTCATCTCAACCTAACCTCATAATAACTGTTACTTTAAGCGATAAAGATAACGCTGCTTACAAGAAGTCCAAAAGTACCGAACTTGACTTTTATCCTTCTTTTGTTCTTGAAAAGCACGAAGTATTCCTTTCAGCTTTATCTCCTGTTGTTACTGTTAAAATATTTGCAAGTGATGACATGATGAAGAGTTTAAAGGTAATTTAATTGTCTTTTAAACTCCTGTGTACATTTGATAAGACGTTTGCCAGAAATCATGGAAGCAAGGAAAAGTAGTTGTGTACGTACAACGTGAATAACAGTTAAAGTGTTAATTTTTTCTTATTTCAGGTTTCTGTTTCTTCGTCGTTGATCTCTGCAAATATTCATTACGGAAATGTTGCATATGTGGACATTTCATTGGTTGACACAAAGATATCGACGCTTGATGATGTCACGATTGAAATCAATAGTGATTTAACTTTTCAATCGGAAACGGTTACAATTGTGTTCCAGTCCACTAAACCGACACCCGCTGCCAGTCTTAACACTAACAATGTAAAAGAACAATGTCTTGGACCAGACTGTCAAAAATCATCTATTTTTACCCTCGACGATGCTTTGCTTATTTTGTTGCCTTTATTTGTAATTTTATGGTTATTTTTTGTGTGTCGACCTGTTCAAAGAATTCCACCTCCATCCAGAACATCACCATACTTATATCAAAGTCCTTATCCTAATCATATTTTTATGGACGATGCTTATTGTCAATGTGATGTCAGTCCTGGACGTCGTAGACACTCGCCAATACTCGGTCGTCGAACACCTGGCTCATCGCCAAGGGACTATTTAGTGTCACTCAATAACCAATGGTGATGAAGTAATGAATATAATTCTTCAGTCGTAATATAAAGTTACGAAATGACATCATTGTATTATAATTTTTGTGAGATACTTTTCTAACCAAATTATTGTTTATAGCTGATTAAGATGTTTTTCTTGTGAACAATTTGTATTTGTGTAGAAGCAAATCTCCAAGGATTGATATTAGACGTGTTGAACGAGCTCATTTTAAAAAGTGTTTTTCATTTGTAATCAAGCTTTGAGTTTATTTAAACGTGAAAACTCATTGTATTGAATTCTACCTTAGGTGCTGTTTTAATGAACCCTACCAGGCGAGATCTTACGAGCTATTAAAAACCATATTTGTTTCTGTTTACATGAGAGGGGGGTCAGCCCTACCAGCCTGTGCATGTCAGCCACAAAAAGTTTAAAAAAAGAGTAAGTACAGTTCTTTCTGCTAAACGTAGAAAATTATTAAACACAACATTCTATAAACAGTCCTTACTTTATGTTCACATTTTTTGTTTAAAATGCCCGCTTAAGAAGTAGTAAAGAAGTTAAGAATATTTCAAATAATATTACAATATAAATATTTAATGATAAAAATTTTCAAACAAATGTTTAGAGAAAAAAATATACTAAATTTGTTAAACTATTTGTGGAAAAGTTATTATTGGGACTAACACCCTGTAGCCACTCTGCTCCCCAAAATTCAAGAAAAATAATTTTTTACACTTTGCTTTCTATTTTTATTATAGAAATAAAACATGTTTGTCCTTGTTTGACATTTCATTAGTTAAAGATTTTAAGCTACGCTCATAGCTTCAAACAGGGTTAATTTTGTCGAGTCGTCACGTATTTGAAAAAACTTACCCACGTTCAATAAGAACATATTTAAATTGACGCGAAGAGCTTTTTGAAGTAACAAAGCATTTATTTAACTTTATTCCAACAGTTGAGTTTGTTTTGTTTGTATTACGTTTGACTTCAACATAAAGACGATCTCGCATTGATGGATCTGTTGTCAATGATTGACTGAAAAGTTCATCTGTGTACAGCGACATAACTATGGACACTTGGCCTTTTTTAGTTACAGTTTTATTTTCGACGGTGAAGTTTTCAAGACCAAAGGCTGACGAGGAAATAAGAAAATTATGAGGATAAGAACATTTAAAAGGAAACTGGATCTCCTTTTCTCTTGAAATGTTGTGTTTGAATGAGTTGAATCCTGAAAAACTTTCGATGATTTTATTATGAAAAGAAATTACTTTTCCGCCATTTTCAACAGTCATCTTTGTCCCACATCTAGTTAGTGAAGTTGTAAAGATAAAATATAATTTGGTTGATTTGGGTTTGCAAGAATTGTCAGAAAGTTGAAGTTGAGAAGCTGAAGTAACATTTAACAATGATTTCTTGATCCAAAAAGTAATGTTGTTTTCACCACATATCAATTTATCTAAAATTTAACGTAGGAAGAAAAGATTATTTATTGACCACAACTACAAAAAATGAAAAGTTGATTGTGAAAATTTCAACGAGTTGAATATTTTTGACAAGTCAACATGATTTTATCATGGAGGGAGCATGGTATCCAAATTACTTTATAAAATAAACACAACGAAACGCGTGCGCTGATTGGTCTAGAGCCGTGTTTGCATTAGCCTGTGCAAAGCCCGTCCGAGCTCAACCAATCAAATCCATCAAAACAGTCAATCAGACAAAGAGAATTTGCAAATCGATCATGAATACATTTTAGAGGGAAAATTAAAATGTTTGTCTTTTTCGCATTGTTGTTATTTTATAAAAGAAATAAAAGATGTTTTTCGTGTTTGCACTGGCTTATGCAAACCTCGGAGACGTTTATGAGAACTCTCGACCTTCGGTCTCGGGCTTGCACTTATCTGCTCTCGAGTTCTCCCAAAGGTCTCCTCGTTTGCATAAGCCTGTGCAAACACAGTAAACATCTTTTATTTCTTTTGAGTACGTCTGTTGCTGACAAGTGACAAGATCATAATTATATATGCAGGGACGGATCTAGGATTTTTCAAACATCAGTCATAAAACGTCGAAGGCGCTCCGCACCTGGGGGGGTCTGAGGCATTCTCCCCTGAGAAATTTTGAATTTCAGAGCCTTGAAAATTCCATTTTCATCCTTTTAGAGCAATACAAAATGTATTTGTGGGCATCGTTTTTGCGTAAAAACAACACATTTTGCTTACGTTTTTCAAAAAAAAATGAAGTGAACAATACTTGAATGTTTTGCCAAATATTTAGGCTCATTATCATGCCAAATATATGGCTCATTAGCATGTCTAGGAACGTAAAATTTATTTTACAATAATGCTATTCAAAACAGATATAGTCTTTAAAATTTCTACCAAGTTGTCAGGCATAGACCCCCTAGAGACCCCATTCAAACCTCTATGTAATGAGTTTAGTTAAGTTAGAAATTTGGTACTACAAGTGACAGTTCATAGATATAGAAAAGCTCAGACTTCAAACCATGCAAGTTTATTGAAACCCTTTACCCATCTCCACATCAGTGCCAGCAAATTCACCTTTTGAGAAAAACTCAAAATTTTTTCTGCCAAAGGTTAAGCAAAATTATCAGAGTGAAAATTTGCAGTTAAGGACAGCTTAATGCCATAAATGTTTATTAGGCATTTCACTAGACTATTATCTCCTGTAAGTATATGCAAGGTGTGCTATATAGCAATCACTAGTAGCATTGTATTTGCAAATACAAACAGAATGTAACCAACATGTCTTTAATTATATAATTACATGAATGTTAAAATTGGTTCATGGGTCATGCTTACTGGTTATGATAAATATCTTTTCATATGATCAAAGCTCGTTTAAATGTAAATCTGAAATAATTTAGTTTAGAAATTATAATGATCATCAGAAAAATTACCTAGTGATCATGAAAATACTTTGCTGTTTTGCCAAATTTCAAGGTTTATCTGCATACATAGAAAGACATTTTACTTTATAGAAAATGCTTTTCATACATCAATAGCCCTTTGGAATTTATGGCAAACAATCTGGTATGAGCCGTAGATTAACACACCTTTACATCTCTACATGAGGTGTTCAGTTAGAAAAGGGACAATATGTGACATGGGACAACATTTCATGTATGTGAAATATTAAGGCTTAATACCATTCCAGTCAAATTGTCAAAATAAAAAGCTTCATGGATCAGAAGACTCAAAATCACAGGTTATAGTAAACAGCTTCTCATGTAATCAATGTTAGTTTTCTCAAATCTTAAACAATATGTAGTATAACTGTCTAATGATTGAATGATCAATGATCATAAACTGAAAAGCCCCAAACATTTGTTTATGATAAAGTAAATAATAGTATGGCGCCTTATGGCCACACATTTTTTGTCCATTGAAATATATTTGCAGGAATGTAGGATTTCGCTGCCGTATAACGGCCACGATTCCCCAAGCACTAAAGAAATCATAGCTAAAAGTCCTTCGGCAACAACAATTTTAGAAGCATCACTTATCCTTTACTTACGATTTTGGATGTAAATTTCTGCTGATAAAACTCAAAACAATGTTGGCTTGCTTTTTAACATCAAGGACTGAAATGTCGCTCGCGAGATCGTCTTTGCCAAGCATTTAAAATTTATCCATAAATTTTTCACCCTCTTGAAAAAATTCACAGTTTGGACAGCAGGATTCATGTCAATATATGAATTTGTAAAAGATTTCCATAAATTCCATCTGATTGTAGTTTAGTTTTTATCATGCTTATAAAAATTACTATGAAACGATCAAACATTTAATTCAGACAGTGAGCTTGACTATGTTAGTTCAGTCGGCTATCAGTCGAAATCTGTCAAACCAATCACAATAAAGCAAAAATTCAAATGAACCAATTGTAAGATAGCAATTGGACTCCCTTATACGTCCGGCCACCCTTATTATCAGTCGAGACCATTCCAGACTGTCCACTGATCTGGCTATTGACCAATAAAATAAGCGTTTTTGACGTTCATAGACTCCTTTATCCGTCGAACCCATAGATATTGTAGGTCTAGATCGCTGACGAGTGTGACGTAATATAAGACTTATTAAGACGGCAGCGTGACATTCATGATAAATCCAAGATGGCGCGGGAACCGGGCAAAAACCTTGGGGCTACTATTAGGCAATTGTTGTTTTTTGCAGTTTACTTCGTTTCAGTGTTTTCAAACTCCTCCAATCAAGTTTTATTGGAAACAAAGCGTTATTAATAATGTTTTGAAGCCATATTGGACAATTATTATTGGAATACGTGCGAAAATATCGCTAGCGAAGTGTTGTGTAAATTGGTCGTTTGGTTGTCTCGAGGCGTTTGTCTACCAAAATAAACGGATTTCGTCTGCTTTAGCTCCCGTACTGGTTCGTCCACGTTGAAATACATCATATTGAATACATACAAAGAACGTTGGATCAACGTCAATACAACGTCACAATGATTACTTTAAGTAGTGTGAACGTCGTGACAACGTTAGGTCAGACGTGACATTCTCACAATCTTTAACCAACGTCCTAAGTACGTCGTGTGCTAGCTGGGAAGTACTGCCTTTGCCTTAACGTCGCGTTAATAGTTACACCACTTAGCTCAAATTTTTGCAGATTGCACAATGAAGTACTAATTTCTAAAGTCTGTCTTAGTGCTGTAGAAGGGGAAGAGGTGCTTAGGTGTGGAGGCCCCTTCTTCACGATCTGGAGGCGGCTGTTCTCCCCTTCTGCTTTTGAAAATGAATAATTCATAAGAAAACAATTGTCGAAAACTTGACTATGATCGAAGTACAACCAAAATTATTTGATTTAAATTCTTGATAAATTGATAACTTTTCTCCTCTTAATGTTTCACGTGATCATGCCCCCATAATTTCTTTATGCTGGGTATTTTTTGATAAGAACCACTTACCGCTTGTAACCAAATTTTAAATTATTATTTTCACAAAAATAATGTGCGCTTAAATTAAGTGCTGTGACGAAAGAGATCTTTTAAAATGTTTAAAGTAAAACATCATAATCCGACGTTTTACCGATTGATAGTGAAAAATAAGATAAAACAATTTATCAGTGCTGCTAATGTCTGTAAGTGGTGAATTTAACTGACTTTTAGTTGCCTTGGCTTGGGAAACTTTCACTGCTGTTTAAGAATGCTAGTAATCCAGTTGTAGAATAAGAGTATTTAGTAATTAGTATACAACTACACATAATTTTATAATAGTATTTTTACTTTCTGAGAATCATTTATAAATTAGAAGTTACTGTAAAAACTGACTGATTTTCTTGCAGACCTTTTGCTTTTAATCTGCCGAGTTTTGTTGCACATAGTGCAGTAGGAATGTGTGAAAGCTTATTTCAAATATAATAATGATCATTACATGTAGGTTATATGATTTTTCATCTGTTAGTCAATTCAGTAAGCGTTGTGAACATCTATATTATAATTTCATACGATGACTTATGTTTACATGGCTTCAGCCTCGTCAAGACCCCCCCCCCCTTGCCTCTAAAGAATTTAGCCTTGGTCAGCACTGGTCTGTATCAATAATAAAGTCAACGTCTTAAAAAGTAGAAAAAAACGTTTATTTACAAAGACTTTTTTGAATAATGTACAATATATTAAATTTATTCTCAAATTACTTTTTCATGCCACCACCGTGTCTTGAATGAAAAGTAGAAATATACCTTATTTTTAAGCTGTAAAAAGTAAAATATGCTGGAAAGTTAAAGTACTTTCCTTGTATGTTATAAAATCGTAAAAAATATTCAAGGTTTTGAAGTTTAAAAACAAACACAAACCTTTTTCCAGCAAACGCATCATGGTCCTCTCAGAAGGATAGTAAGACTTTTTCACAGCGATTATGTTAAATATAGCTGTAGTTAACATTAAAAATAATGATGAAATAGTGAACATTTTGAAAGACGAAATTTTGAACATCTTTAAAGACACAAGTATATAGCTTTAATGAGAAATTACAGGTGAAAAAAACAGAAAGAATTTTTTGTTTTGCCACCCTGTGTTGCATATTTAATTGCAACACGTCTTTCTATGGCGCGCCAAGATGGACAATATTACCAAAATCGAAAATATTTATAACGAAACACATTATCGTATGTCAAAAATAATAAACTTGCAACTTTTTCAATATTTGTAAAACGAAACGCAAAAATATAAAAGAAAACAAAAATTCGTTTACCATAATTTATCTATACACAACGAAATTTATTTTTCAAGTTATGAAAATTATTTTTATAAAACGAAACTCATATATATAAAACGAAATTGACATTCATAACACGACATTTTCTTCGAACAAACGACATTTTTTACCGCGCCCTGCCACTGACATCAAAGAAAAAACGGCGTTTTGACTTTTTTCCTCCTCCATAATTTACACTTGGGTTGAACAGTGGAGACGTGTGGTGCATTGAAGTATTAGCTGCTGTAGTCGCTGCTCCTCCCACTGTAGTGGTTGTGGATGAACGACCATTTGCAGAAGGGACTCCTTCAAAAGTTCTTTCACAATTGTTGGAGCAATCATTTTCAGAGAGCTGAGTGATTGCTGCAACAAGGTTTGTCAAGTTATGTAAGTTCCTTCGCGAAGACATCCTCAAAATTTTGTGGTGGATGGCTCTTTGCAGGCTACAAAATAATGGCCGCAAAAAAGCGGTAAAAAGTGTCGTTTGTTCGAAGAAAATGTCGTTTTATGAATGTCAATTTCGTTTTATATACGAATGGCAAGCTGGTTGGACATGCGCCCATTGAACTTTCCTTCCTCGTGTTTACATTTTTACGAGCTCATGAGGATAATGCGGTGGAGGTAAAAGTAACTGGAAAAAGAAAACTTGAAAACGGCCTAGTTGTTCCAGGAACTTTTAAAGCAGTAACACGAAGCCGGCGACTGGGAGCAAAGTTTAACGAGGAACTTGATAAAGTAAAGCTCCTATGTGCCCACATGGATATTGAAATCAAGCAAATGAGAAGCAAACCTCTGAAGAACATTGATTTTGAGTTCTAACGAATGTCCGTTACCGATGTAAAAATTAAAATACTGTGTATCGAACTGAGTACCGAAGTTCATCTTTTATCGGGGAAGGGTGGGGGTGGGGGCGCTTATTTGAGAGGACGCTTAGCAAAACCCGTCTTTTCTCGAGGGGGCGCTTATTGGAAGGGGCGCTTATTTCAAAATTTGAGTCCTAGGGGGCGCTAATTCGAAGGGGCGCTTATTCGAGCATTTACGGTAAATGAGTTTCGTTTTATAAAAATAATTTTCATAACTTGAAAAATAAATTTCGTTGTGTATATATAAATTATGGTAAACGAATTTTTGTTTTCTTTTATATTTTTGCGTTTCGTTTTACAAATATTGAAAAACTTGCCAGTATATTATTTTCGACATACGATAATGTGTTTCGTTGTAAATATTTTCGATTTTGGTAATATTGTCCATCTTGGCGCGCCATATCTTTCTATGATTGGCTGCTATTTGTAAAGCGATAACATGAATTACCCAACTGTTTGCTTTTTATCAATAAGATGGAGTATTTGCATTTAGGAAATTATTTCTGTTAATTAAGCAAATTTTGTTTGATGAAGCAATTATTTTGTCTACACCACTTTAAAAGTCACAAATTTAATGCATGAATGACTGGAATATTAGTCCCACAAGCTTTTAAATGCCAATTATTGATGTGTGGAAACAAAAATGCCAATTTAACGCAAATTTCACTATAATTAATACTATCCATGAAAAATATCTAACACCTCAATGACAACCTGCACATTTATTATGTCTAACATCTAATGGAAGCACAAGCAAGCATTCGAACTTTTCTCTGTAATATGAAGTTTGTATTGAACTTGCCACAAAAAGACAACATTTCCTTTCAAATTATTCGCTTTGCGCGGGGCCCTCAAAACCGCTGGGCTCCTGGCAACTGCCTTGACGCCCTCCTCTTAATACAGCCATACTTCAACTGTCCATAAAAATTGCGTATCAATTTCACATGCAGAGTGGATATAAGCTTTTTGAAAGTAGTGGATTATAATCATTGTGTTTGATTTTCTTACTAAAAAGATAATTTGCATTTTTGGGTAACTTTACTTCTTATTGTAGGAAGGACTTTATGTAAGAAATACGAAACACACCGTTCGTCCAAACTCCAAAAATGGCGGGGTTTAGGAAGATTCTTTTGTTAAAATGTTTTCTTTCATTATTTGATTTATTTTTCTGTGAAAAACAACCTGATACTTTGAATGTTTTAAGCATCCTTCTTCCTTATTCTACGGCAGGCTCAGCTAACGTCAACTTTACTGTTTGGGCACAGAGTGGTTGTTATAAATGGTATCATTGCACGTGTTTAATTTTATATATGACTTTCTATTGAGTCTTTGTTTATATGTATATTATGTAATATGAAAGGTTTAAAAAACGGCTTTGATAAAGATGATATTATTCCCAATGTGTGTACTGGTAAAATTCCTTAGAATTAAGAAACATGAAAGATCTATAACTTATAATGTGATTTGATTTTAGGAGTTCTTCAAGACCAGAGATTGCCGAAATTCGACCCGTTATTGGTATTTCACCAAAGAAAGGTAAATTTTGTTTTGTTCCCACTAAATTATGCTTTAAATTATTCTGTGTACAGTCAGTGTGAGTGTACATGAATGATAATAATGAATATAACGTCCAGCAAGACTAGTATTCATTTCTAAAAAGAAAGATTATTTATTTTTGTCATTAGGTCAAAATGACTGCAGTCAAAAGGCTGTAGTCACATCACAATCATCAAAACCTGAAAAGCAAACTGCGATAATTATTGCTGAAGAGAAAGGTTTGTCAAATCTTGATGATTTTAAACTATTCGTGTCATTGTATGAAGGATTTTTTTAATAAAATTGAAATTTGATCATGTCTAGTAATAAATGATCTCTGTGACAGATGTGTTTACTTGACACTAAAATTAGCTATTTTCAGCAAAAAAGAGATCTTAGATATTAAATATTTTTATTTGGTGTGTACAATCTCCTTAATTTCACGAAAAAATGCAAATGCCAATTGTAGTCTTGTAATGTGATACATGTCATTGTCTGAATGTTTGTGTATTAATGAGGAAAGAGTAATTTCTCATTGTAACACAAGCACAAACATCCTGTATTTAAAAGATATATCTGCAATTTCAGCTGTAAGAGTGTCTCCCTTTCACTTCAATACATTTAAGCATAGATAGCGATTTTATCTGATTTTTTTTTATTTTCAGTAACTGGCAATGTCATTCGTGCTGATGTATTTGTCAACAAAATAGATCGTATTCTAATCCAAACTACAACACGTGAACTTTTACTGGGACAATCACCAGAAGTTCTTCAAGTCTTTGCGTATGATGATACAGATAATTTATTTTCTTCCATTGATGGCCTTGTCTTTGACTGGGAACTTATTACTACTCCTGGATCAATGGATGCCTCCAGCATATTAAGGTACATAGTACAACTGCATCAATACATTGGACATGATAGATAAATATATTGAGTGCTAAAAAATGTTTTCATCACTTTGTATTCAGGATTGTCCCATTTGCTGAATCAATTAATGAAACCTCAGCTGCTATTTATGCTTTAGAAGCCGAGGTAAACTCTATGTTTACCACATTGCTGTTGTTGAAGTTGGACTCAACTCATGAAAATTGTTTATTTTAAGGGTTTAAGGGGCAGCAGTATCATTGTTGAAGGTATAACAACAGGAACAGCACTGGTCAGGGCAAAATTAAGTCATCCTACTTTCCAGGTTTGCTAAATATATAAATTATCATTAATTTATTCACAACTTACACTAGACAGTTATAGTTGGCCTATTTAAAAATTCTTTAGGCAATTTGTAAATTGTTGCGTTTATTGTAAATTTTGTGGGTTATGTAAAAGATCGTACTTCGTAATACTTAAGTCTTTCTTGAACAGCTTTATGTGTGAACCATAGTCCATACGTCGTAGATCAATTCACAAATCTAACAACGAGCCAGACAGTGTTGTTTTCCATTGTGCAAACAATTCACACGTATTCAAGATTTCCTATGTTATATAGTTTGCTGCGTATTTTGAGTCTGAAGATGACAACCGCTAAGGCTGTCGAAACGTCAGTCAACAACAACAAAAACAGTTCTTCTCAGGACTATACTAACCTGGACGATCTACATTTACAAACATGAAAGAGAAAAGTGTTTCAGATCAAGTTAAATTAAAAGTCAAAATTGGATTAAAGTTAAATTACAAGCTATATTTTCTCCCTCCGGATAGCGCATTTTGATTTAAAAGAAACAAAATTCTATACATTGATTGTGTTCACGCTGTCGTATAATAAATGTTGACGATACGTGAATTTAATTCTTAAATGAAAATGAAAAGATCACAGTCACAAAATCGTTCTGTGCTAGATTTAAAATGTTCGTTATGTAAGAGAACTGATTTATTTCTTGATAATTGTGACGTTTTTCTCCATGATTTCCATTCGTGCGTGCAGCAGATAGGTTTAATGAAATGACTTTTTAGGTGTTATCCTTTTAAAAACTCTTGGAATCAGTTATATCGACTAGTTATTATAAGTCAAAAGATAAACGTTCTTTGAACCTGTGCAGTATCCTTAGATTTCTTTGTATATTTTATAATAAGTTTTGTACACTTGCGATACATCGAGACATTTAAGCACTAGTTAATCGCGTGGTAACTTTTCATTGAGAAACTTAGCTTGACGTCCAATATGTGCATGGCGTGCTTCTACATAACCATGGACATTACATAACCATGGACATTACATAACCATGGACATTACATAACCATGGGCATTACATAACCATGGACATTACATAACCATGGGCATTACATAACCATGGACATTACATAACCATGGGCATTACATAACCATGGACATTACATAACCATGGACATTACATAACCATGGACATTACATAACCATGGACATTACATAACCATGGACATTACATAACCATGGACATTACATAACCATGGACATTACATAACCATGGACATTACATAACCATGGACATTACATAACCATGGACATTACATAACCATGGACATTACATAACCATGGACATTACATAACCATGGACATTACATAACCATGGACATTACATAACCATGGACATTACATAACCATGGACATTACATAACCATGGACATTACATAACCATGGACATTACACTTTAGATTTTAAAGAGAAAATCGCTCAGCTTGCAAACCGTCAATTGTAAGACAAGAAATGGTTATTTACACCATAAGCTTGTGATATGTTTTGTTCAAAATGTAAATTGAAGTCAATGGATGTTCTTCTCATAAAACGTACGTGAATCAAAATTAAATGAGAGTCAAAAGGCTGTGTTTTTTTTTACATTTTATTATCTTTGGATCCGTAGTTTTTGGCTTGAGTTTACTGTCAGCGCGACTTCTCTGCACTTTGCCAATAAATTGTCAGAAACTTTATGTTATTTTTGTGAAAAGACTAATCAAGTGAGTTTTGTTTTTTGGGGATGAAAATTATAAGGATGTTCGTACGTTGCCTATAAGCGTATTTCCTTTGTTATAAAAAGTAAAGCAAAAATATCAATCTGAGAGTGTGAGTAAATTAGGAAACTTCGAAGAAACATTTTTTTCCGAAAAAATATGAGAAAACCTGCAATAACTGCTGCGATGTTTGACTGGAATCAAAATGATGCGGTTTAATTATAAACAAAACATTTCAACTCAACATCGTCTTTTCATAAACATGGTTTTATTACGTATTTAAGTGCCCAACTAGCGTAAGTTTTTATTATTGTTCTTGAATAAAAAATTTTAATTCGGTCAAATCGTCGGCTTATTTTGACGCTTTTAAGTTGCCTTTTAATGGACCTTGTCCGTCTTGGCAAGAGGTCTGGGTCTAGCCTAATTCTGACGTCATCCAAGGTAGTTGGCATATACTTATATTTCGTATTAACGAATCCTGTGCGTGACGTCACAAAGATTAGCTGCTCCAGACTTGGGGCAAAGTCATTGAAAGATGTCGACGCTCATTTTAATCTTTACCATAAAAACAGAACGAAATTAGAAACTTTTTCATTTATCACACTAAAATGCAATATCGCAAATGGAATTTATTGCTGGAAAGAAAACTCTAAGATTGTTTAATGATGTTTCTTGTACTTTTACATTCATGTTGTCTTTTAGGATGTAAAATCTGACGAAGTAAAGTTATTGGTGATTGATAACTTAATAATAATTCCATCGAGAGATGTCTACATTATGATAAATACTGCTGTCAAATACACAGTCAAAAGATTTCGACAAAACTCTATGATAGGTAAACAAAATTACATTTCTTATTCCCGTGCTGTGGTTTACTTTAATAATATCAATGATTTAAGGAAAGTAATTGTACAATTATAAATTGTAAAACATCATTTTATCATTAGATGTCGAAATGCCGTCAACACAATTTGAGTTTGTTCTCAGCAATAAAACTGTTGCAGTTCTTCATGAGCCATCATCTAATGTTATTGGTCGTGTTCTTGGTTATACACAAGTCACCCTTGTTGATAAAAGTATCTTTTTGTGTGTACTTCTGAACTGAGGGGTAGGTTTTTGTTCTTTGGTATGTACAAGTCACCCTTGTTGATAAAAGTATTCTTTTGTGTACACCATGGACTGAGGGGGTTGACAATTGTTGCGCGGGGGGGGGGCTAACATTTATATATGCATGTTCTTTATTAGCTTCTATTAAAATAATTGTGTATGTACGTATTTCTGTTTCACCGTACAATACAATAGACAGCATGTACTTATGGTACGTCAGTAGATACTTGTAGTACATTACTTAGGTACTTTTATGGATACTTTGTTTAATCCTTAACGTTATGATGAGACATGAAAGATCAAATATCTACAAGACAACCAACAGTTGGTATTTATGTTAATGAACCTGATCATCTAGGTAATTCTTAATTTCATAACTGTTTAAAATGATTATGGACGTCGTGATTTGCACGTGCTTAATTCATTGTTGAAGCGTGTTCGTGTGACGTCACTGAGCGCAAGTTGTGACGTTTGAAAGGCAAAACTTTTGGCGCCAAATTTTGTTTTCAAACACGAAAAGACGTTAAAATTTCAAAACTTGAGCGAAGAAGTTGCGTTAAAAAAGCATTTGGAAAAATTGTTATTGATTTCATTGAATGAAATAGTTAAAGCATATTTACCTGTGACGTTTTACAAGAGTTGTACATGTTTAATTTTTGTTTTGTAAAATATCATTGATATTTTTAGCTTAACATTTATAGAAACCTCACAACTCTCTCGTATTTACTTGAGCTCTTGCTAACTATTTGAAAACCACATCTATAGTCTTATGAAAGAAATCTTCAATTTTCGTGCGTTGCTTAAGCTGTTGTTACTATTGCTTCATCACGTAAATATTCATCACGTAAATATTCATCTCGTAAATATTCATCACGTAAATATTCATCACGTAAATATTCATCACGTAAATATTCATCACGTAAATATTCATCACGTAAATATTCATCACGTAAATATTCATAACGTAAATATTCATCACGTAAATATTCATCACGTAAATATTCATCACGTAAATATTTATCACGTAAATATTCATCACGTAAACTCAAGCAAAATCAAGAAAGTTTTCATAAAATGTTAACATTGAGATGATTCCGTCTCTATGATTTTTTAGGATTTTCTATCGCTTGTGGCGATGTTTGGATCTTAGAAAGTAAACGTGAATATGTTATCACAGTGAACGTCTTTGACAAACTTAATCATAAACTTTATGTTGGTGGTAACATTCAAATCACAACTGAATTTCCAAAATCCCATTTCGATGTTTCTTATTCTTCTGATAATGGATCGTATCACGAGACCAAGACGTTGACCAGTGGGAAAATAGTGCTGCATGCTGTACTGTCTAAGATTACGGTAACAATTTGAATGTTTTGTGTTGTGTAGTTGACTACCATACGTATGTACTACTATGTAATGGATATTTGTATGGATTGCAAAGTTTATTTTCTCACTGATCAGATTCAAACGCTCATACGTAAATCATACGTAAATGCCTTGTACGGTAGGTCGTTATACTAATAAAGTGAAGGATAACCCAGTTTGTTTCATTATCGTGAAGTTGATTTTTCATATCAATATTATTGTCAAGTTATCTAATATTCACTTACTTAATTTTATAGTTGTTTATCACTGGAGAAACTGTGGTCCTCGATCCTCCCGTTCGTGGTAAACAAAATGTTATTATTTATAATCCTGTCACCGTGACACCTGCTGTTTTGGCGTTTCCATGGATACCAAATGGTAGTGATCATTACAAATACCAACTTGAAGTATGTACATGAAGCAAAATTTTACTACATGTGGGGAGGAAGGGAAGAGGATTTCACGTAAAAAATTGCTGTTGTTTTCCCTTGCCAAAAGTTTAACCAGTTATTTTACGTAGATCACGTTGTATATAGTATAAATACTTCATGTAACATTGTGCATTACCTTTTTAGGCCACAGGGGGGAGTGGACAATACTCATGGTCTTCTGATGCTACGACCATTGCAAGTGTCAACATTCGAGGTCTTCTCACTACGACCGCTGACACAGGATTCACCATTGTGAAGGCTCATGACACTGAGAATTTATTGCATTATGGTCAATCAAAGGTGTGTTTGTGTGACTTGAAGAAAAAAACTTTTAGTGATTGTTTTTTAATTCTCTTGTTGTATTGTAGGTTTATATATTGCCTCCGGACAACTTAAAGTTTGTCCCCTCGAGAGTTGAAGTTGAAATTGGTACAAAGTTAAAGATTCCTCTGGCTGCTGCTGCATTTTATTTACCAGGTTTGTTGTAGATACGTATATTGTGTAACAAACATGTAATGTTTAGAATCAGTTATAGTTCATCCTTTCTTTCGATAATACATATTTATGATTAGCCATAAATTATCCTTCTAAAAATTGAAACTTTACGTATACAAGTTTAGGCGTGATTATTAATTGAAGTTATGAAACAGAGACTTTGTCGTGGTGACAAACTTAAAGATGGATTTCAAAATAGCAAAACCATGGTGAATGGTGATGATAACAATGTAATAGTTCTTAAAAGAACTGTTTTAACCAGAACACTAACCCAACAATTAGCTGTAAATAACGGTTCCTTTGAATTGTTGGGTTAGTGTTCTGGTTAAAACAGTTCTTTTAGAACTATTACATTGTTATTATCACCATTCACCATGGTTTTGCTATTTTGAAATCCATAATTGAAGTTATTTAACTTATGAATAATTCTTTTAGAAAGTGATGATTTATTGTTTTTTGATGATTGTCGCAAAATGAACCTTACGATATCTGTTACTGATCCTTCAATATTTCAAGTACTTGGAACATCAGGTTTGTTGTTTACGTGGCGACTGATGATACTAACGTTATTTTTAAAGGGCATATGACTCCAAAAATTTACTATTCAAATTATATTTTCGTTCAACAGAACTTTAAAAATGACAGTGTATTTTGTAGAACTGTTTATGCATATCGAAGATATTGCGATATTAAAGTTTTTGTAATAACCGATTTACGCAACTTTCTACGTCATTTTGCACAATGAGTTGATACAAAGTTTCAAACATCTTTTAGTTTCAAGGCAACTTTTTGTCAAAATTATGAGGAAATTTTTTATACCATTAACTCCACAATAAAGGAAGCTCTTTTCGGTTGACAGCAAGTATACCTGCTCTGCGAAATTCTCATTATGCAATGTGACGAAAAAACGTTTTTGTAAAGCGTCCATTACACAAACTACAGTATCTTGAGAGTGAAACGTGATGTGAATAAAGTTATGCTCAATGAAAATATAATCTGAAGAAGCACAATTTTCGAGTCGTGCATTTTGAATGACTTTACGTTTATTTAAAATAAAGTAGATGATTTTCTAACTCCTGGATATACATCAGTATACCTTAACGCTTTTTAACGATCGTCTCAATATTACTAATGTTTAAATGATTATTTTAGATGAGTTTGATGATATTATTACTCCTGGTTGTACATCAGTGTACCTGAAAGCTTTGCGTCAAGGATATGTCATTGTCACAGCTGGATATCAATATAAAAATATTAATATCAAAGCAACTGTTACAGTAGCTGCGTATTTACCACTTAAAGTAAGGAAAATTCATCTACTTTTCTCTAACATTTTATTTACTGTTTTCTTTTACTGTCAAATTTCAATCCCCTTCAATGAGAAATCTCACACCATTATTGTCACGTTATAAATGAATTATCTTCTAGGCTATCGATCCTGTTGACATTGCTGTTGTCACCCTTGGTTCAGCAAAGAACTTCATCATACAAGGTGGACCTCAACCTTGGGTTCATGATAGATCAACACATTATGAGAAAGGTAACCACGTCATTCATGGTTTCATGTTAGATCTACACATTATGAGAAAGGTAACCACGTCATTCATGGTTTCATGTTAGATTTACACATTATGAGAAAGGTAACCACGTCATTCATGGTTTCATGTTAGATTTACACATTATGAGAAAGGTAACCACGTCATTCATGGGTTCATGTTAGATCTACACATTATGAGAAGGGTAACCACGTCATTCATGGTTTCATGTTAGATCTACACATTATGAGAAAGTTAACCACGTCATTCATGGTTTCATGTTAGATTTACACATTATGAGAAAGGTAACCACGTCATTCATGGTTTCATGTTAGATCTACACATTATGAGAAAGTTAACCACGTCATTCATGGTTTCATGTTAGATTTACACATTATGAGAAAGGTAACCACGTCATTCATGGTTTCATGTTAGATCTACACATTATGAGAAAGGTAACCACGTCATTCATGGTTTCATGTTAGATTTACACATTATGAGAAAGTTAACCACGTCATTCATGGTTTCATGTTAGATTTACACATTATGAGAAAGGTAACCACGTCATTCATGGTTTCATTTTAGATTTACACATTATGAGAAAGGTAACCACGTCATTCATGGGTTCATGATAGATTTACACATTATGAGAAAGTTAACCACGTCATTCATGGTTTCATGTTAGATCTACACATTATGAGAAAGTTAACCACGTCATTCATGGTTTCATGTTAGATTTACACATTATGAGAAAGGTAACCACGTCATTCATGGTTTCATGTTAGATTTACACATTATGAGAAAGGTAACCACGTCATTCATGGTTTCATGTTAGATCTACACATTATGAGAAAGGTAACCACGTCATTCATGGTTTCATGTTAGATCTACACATTATGAGAAAGGTAACCACGTCATTCATGGTTTCATGTTAGATCTACACATTATGAGAAAGTTAACCACGTCATTCATGGTTTCATGTTAGATTTACACATTATGAGAAAGGTAACCACGTCATTCATGGTTTCATGTTAGATTTACACATTATGAGAAAGGTAACCACGTCATTCATGGGTTCATGTTAGATCTACACATTATGAGAAAGGTAACCACGTCATTCATGGTTTCATGTTAGATTTACACATTATGAGAAAGGTAACCACGTCATTCATGGTTTCATGTTAGATTTACACATTATGAGAAAGGTAACCACGTCATTCATGGTTTCATGTTAGATTTACACATTATGAGAAAGGTAACCACGTCATTCATGGTTTCATGTTAGATTTACACATTATGAGAAAGGTAACCACGTCATTCATGGTTTCATGTTAGATTTACACATTATGAGAAAGGTAACCACGTCATTCATGGTTTCATGTTAGATTTACACATTATGAGAAAGGTAACCACGTCATTCATGGTTTCATGTTAGATTTACACATTATGAGAAAGGTAACCACGTCAACCATGGGTTCATGATAGATTTACACATTATGAGAAAGGTAACCACGTCATTCATGGTTTCATGTTAGATCTACACATTATGAGAAAGGTAACCACGTCATTCATGGTTTCATGATAGATTTACACATTATGAGAAAGGTAACCACGTCATTCATGGTTTCATGATAGATTTACACATTATGAGAAAGGTAACCACGTCATTCATGGTTTCATGTTAGATTTACACATTATGAGAAAGGTAACCACGTCATTCATGGTTTCATGTTAGATTTACACATTATGAGAAAGGTAACCACGTCATTCATGGTTTCATGTTAGATTTACATATGAGAAAGTTAATCACATCCATTGTATTACTTCAGTAACTAATTATAATATATTTTGTACTTCAGTGAATTCTGAGAAGTTAGCTCTGATCTCAATAAGAACTGATGTGATACCACAACATCCGTTCGGCGAACAAAGCTCTCTACATTATTATCACGTGACTTGTAAGGAGCTCGGGGAACAAAATATTGTGGTTACAATTGGCAATAATCCATCAAAAACTAATAACTATCCAGCGAGCTCTAATATCACTTTGAGATTTGCCTGCATGATACCTGCCACCCTCAACTTGGAACCTGATGTCCAACTACCCGAGATCACGGATCGTACGTTCAGTTTACAGGATTGTCAGAGTCCTAATAAAGAGGTATTTGTTGCGTATAATTAGTAATTGTTCATTTGTTTGGTATCTCTAGAGAAACATAAATGTTTTTGTGACTTTTAATGAAAAAAATTATAACCTGGATACCTAAATGATGAGAACGAAAATTGTCATGTTAAGGATGTGTCAAATATAGATTTAATAAAATACAAATATGTTTGCAATGTATTGACTATACCGCAGCATTATCTATTTATGTTCTATTATTGAATTCATTATTATCTATTTATGTTCTATTATTGGATTCATTATTATCTATTTATGTTCTATTATTGAATTCAATATTATCTATTTATGTTCTATTATTGAATTCAATATTATCTATTTATGTTCTATTATTGAATTCATTATTATCTATTTATGTTCTATTATTGGATTCATTATTATCTATTTATGTTCTATTATTGAATTCAATATTATCTATTTATGTTCTATTATTGAATTCAATATTATCTATTTATGTTCTATTATTGAATTCATTATTATCTATTTATGTTCTATTATTGAATTCAATATTATCTATTTATGTTCTATTATTGAATTCAATATTATCTATTTATGTTCTATTATTGAATTCATTTATTATCTATGTTCTATTATTGAATTCATATTATCTATTTATGTTCTATTATTGAATTCTTATTATCTATTTATGTTCTATTATTGAATTCAATATTATCTATTTATGTTCTATTATTGAATTCATTATTATCTATTTATGTTCTATTATTGAATTCATTATTATCTATTTATGTTCTATTATTGAATTCAATATTATCTATTTATGTTCTATTATTGAATTCATTATTATCTATTTATGTTCTATTATTGAATTCAATATTATCTATTTATGTTCTATTATTGAATTCATTATTATCTATTTATTTTCTATTATTGAATTCAATATTATCTATTTATGTTCTATTATTGAATTCTATTATTATGTTCTATTATTGAATTCAATATTATCTATTTATGTTCTATTATTGAATTCATTATTATCTATTTATGTTCTATTATTGAATTCAATATTACTTATTTATGTTCTATTATTGAATTCAATATTATCTATTTATGTTATATTATTGAATTCATTATTATCTATTTATGTTCTATTATTGAATTCATTATTATCTATTTATGTTCTATTATTGAATTCATTATTATCTATTTATGTTCTATTATTGAATTTAATATTATCTATTTATGTTCTATTATTGAATTCATTATTATCTATTTATGTTCTATTATTGAATTCATTATTATCTATTTATGTTCTATTATTGAATTCATTATCTATTTATTTTCTATTATTGAATTCATTATTATCTATTTATTTTCTATTATTGAATTCATTATTATCTATTTATGTTCTATTATTGAATTCAATATTATCTATTTATGTTCTATTATTGAATTCATTATTATCTATTTATGTTCTATTATTGAATTCAATATTATCTATTTATGTTCTATTATTGAATTTAATATTATCTATTTATGTTCTATTATTGAATTCATTATTATCTATTTATGTTCTATTGAATTCTATCTATCTATGTTTATTCAATATTATCTATTTATGTTCTATTATTGAATTCATTATTATCTATTTATGTTCTATTATTGAATTCAATATTATCTATTTATTTTCTATTATTGAATTCATTATTATCTATTTATTTTCTATTATTGAATTCATTATTATCTATTTATGTTCTATTATTGAATTCATTATTATCTATTTATGTTCTATTATTGAATTCATTATTATCTATTTATGTTCTATTATTGAATTCAATATTATCTATTTATTTTCTATTATTGAATTCATTATTATCTATTTATTTTCTATTATTGAATTCATTATTATCTATTTATGTTCTATTATTGAATTCAATATTATCTATTTATGTTCTATTATTGAATTCATTATTATCTATTTATGTTCTATTATTGAATTCATTATTCATTTATCTACAATCACGATCTTTATTATATTTAGTTCCACGTACGAAGTCCTCAAGATCTGAAACTTCGTATTTCATTGAGAGACAATAAAAATCGTTTGTTTGATAATTTCACATCACTTGAAATTATTTGGACAAGCAGCAACTATGACATGGCTTCATTTGATCGCAGTAACGAAACTGACATTGAAATGACTTATGAAGAAGATATGTTTGGTCCGTACATGAAAATGATTTGTAAGTGATAAACATTCGTGTGATGTTAAATTATGGGAATATTAAACAACATGAGCATAATATGTTTTATGAATAATTAATGTTTGTGTTGTTTTGCTCAGCGTATCAAGTTTGCCAGTTAAAAGTGAAGCAAGGCTCGGTGACCATAAAATCAACTATCATGAAGTATCGTGTCGTTATACTACGGAATGCGGGCGTCGGTGATGAGGTTGGCATTTAATTTGAGTTTCAGCTCATTTTCGGGTGTTACTCAATTTGTTAAATAAAGATGTTTTATTTTCAGGAAAATTTAAAGAAACATCTAAGTGCGTCAATAAAACTTTCCTTGACAAGTGATATACGTATTGAACCTACACAAGCTGCAATTTTTAACCATCCATTCAATAAGGTATTAAAAAGACAGGTTTCCGTAACAAAATGAAAATATTCGTTTGAAAAGATGTTCGAAAAACTTGCTTTACTTACTACGTTAAACTAATGTTTATTATGAATGTTTTTATTTTTGTTTGAGGTCCATAACATATGTTTGTACTCGTTTACTGTTTTATAAGTGAATGACTAATGTTTATTATGAATGTTTTATTTTTGTTTGAGGTCCATAACATATGTTTGTACTCGTTTACTGTTTTATAAGTGAATGACTAATGTTTATTATGAATGTTTTATTTTTGTTTATCGTCCATAACATATGTTTGTACTCGTTTACTGTTTTATAAGTGAATGACTAATGTTTATTATGAATGTTTTTATTTTTGTTTATCGTCCATAACATATGTTTGTACTCGTTTACTGTTTTATAAGTGAATGACTAATGTTTATTATGAATGTTTTATTTTTGTTTATCGTCCATAACATATGTTTGTACTCGTTTACTGTTTTATAAGTGAATGACTAATGTTTATTATGAATGTTTTATTTTTGTTTATCGTCCATAACATATGTTTGTACTCGTTTACTGTTTTATAAGTGAATGACTAATGTTTATTATGAATGTTTTTATTTTTGTTTATCGTCCATAACATATGTTTGTACTCGTTTACTGTTTTATAAGTGAATGACTAATGTTTATTATGAATGATTTTATTTTTGTTTGACGTCCATAACATATGTTTGTACTCGTTTACTGTTTTATTAGTCTGATTCAGTCTGATGACGAATTTGTAGCAAATTCGAAATATTACTTTACAAATAAAATTTCTTGTTTCTTTCTCAAATATTGAGTTAAACACGAGTCTTTATTTGCTTCATATTAAATTAGTGAATGAAGTATTTTTTTCATCAAGGTGGAATTGAGGATATTTGGAGGCTCTGGAAAATATCAAGTAAAAGGAAGTGATGATGATATTGCAAGTTTATCTTCTCTAAAATCATCTGTAAAAGTAAGTGATTATTTATACATCAATGTAAAGTTAAATCAACATAAAGAATGTGAACAATGAACATCAATTTAAAGTAAAATGGTTTGAACCCGGGAGTATCGTTACATCTATGTGGATGTAGATCGTCCAGGTCAGTAGAGTCCTGCGAAGGACTGTTTTTGTTGTTGTTGACTGACGTTTCGACAGCCTTAGCGGTACTCTACACTAAAGATGACTTCTGCTAAGGTTGTCGAAACGTCTCTACATCAATACCAGGAGTCTTTCTCAGGACTTTACTAACCTGGGCGATCTAAATCCACAAACATGAACATCTATCTGTTGTAGATAACTCCTAAAATGACTGGAATCTATACTCTCACAGTTTATGATCAATGTCTTGATTCTCCTAATCCTGCTATGGCAAATATAAGGATATCGGACATTGACCGTATTCTCGTTACTGTTGTGGATAAGGTAGGATAAAATTGTCTGCATTCAAGTGTTGTAGATTGGTAATTAAAATTGCTTATATTCTCGATATTTATAGGTGGAATTAGGTCACGTGATCAATTGCTCTGTGATGGTTATTGATGAGTTGAATAACCCACTATTGGTCAGTCAACTGGATCTTCTCAATCTTACACCACGGCTTTCACGTGATCTCGTTAATGTAAAGTAAGTTCATATTGTGTATATATGTGTACTATTGTGTATATACGTGTACTATTGTGTATATACGTGTGCTATTGTGTATATACGTGTACTATTGTGTATATACGTGTACTGTTGTGTATATACGTGTACTATTGTGTATATACGTGTGCTATTGTGTATATACGTGTACTATTGTGTATATACGTGTACTATTGTGTATATACTTGTACTATTGTGTATATACGTGTGCTATTGTGTATATACGTGTACTATTGTGTATATACGTGTACTATTGTGTATATACGTGTACTATTGTGTATAACGTGTACTATTGTGTATATAAGTGTGCTATTGTGTATATACGTGTACTATTGTGTATATACGTGTACTATGTGTATATACGTGTACTATTGTGTATATACGTGTACTATTGTGTATATACTTGTACTATTGTGTATATACGTGTACTATTGTGTATATACGTGTACTATTGTGTATATACGTGTACTATTGTGTATATACGTGTACTATTGTGTATATACGTGTACTATTGTGTATATAAGTGTGCTATTGTGTATATACGTGTACTATTGTGTATATACGTGTACTATTGTGTATATACGTGTACTATTATATTGCTATGTAAAAGAGGGGCATTTTAACAAGTTGTGTCTACCGAGGTCAAACGTTTTTCATTTCAAATGTTTGCTGTTTTTAGATTAAGTGGAAAAAGTGGACTGGATACGACATTGTATATTTTACGTGGCGTTGCTATTGGAAACACAATACTCACGTATACAGCTCATCCAGCTAATAAACCTCAAATTACCAGCGAACCGAAACATGTTCAGGTATTGAGCAATTGATACGTAAATTATTAAATAGAGATAATATTACTGTTGTTTATCTGCTGTATTTAACGTTCACTAAAAAGTGAAAAAAACTCGTCGAAGTTTTTGTAACAATTACGTCGACATTGAGTTCATGTTGTATACTTTGTTATATGTTCATCACCACGTATGAATGGAAACATTAATTGAATGGTAATGAAATCATAAAGTTATATTTATAAATTTAACATCTATATTTAACAGGTATTTCCTCCATTAAAACTCGACCCCAGGTACATTATTCTAATTCCTGGTGCTACGTTTCAACTGATCGCCACAGGTGGTCCTTATCCTCAAGTGACAACATTGTTTAACATAAAGAACGATTCAGTTGCATCTGTAAGTAGTGTTGGTCTTATTACTGCCCGAATACCTGGTAAAACATTTGTTACGGGATTGGTGGAGGCAAATGACCCGCAATCAGGTCACGCCATCATATTTTCAGAGGTTTGTAGTTGGTTAATTTTTTTGTTTGTTTCAAGTTTGGATGTTGATGAAGTTACTTTTTTACAAATTTTTTTACTGTTGCATTTTTCTCATTTTCTTGTCTGAAATTTAGACTCTTACTCAGCATACAATGAAACATTGACATCCCATTTCTCGTAATGCTTTAGGATCACGTGATCGTAGAAGTGATACGTCTTACTGGTATAAAGATATATACGCCCTCCAGTAATGTGGTCACAAATACTGAGGTAAACTCTCCCCAGTTTTCTTACCAACGAATATTTTTTGGGGGGTGGGGTTATTATAAATTTGTAAATCGTGCAATCTGCAGGTTAATGAGAACATTTTACTTTTTGTGTTATTAAGAGTTTTTATAACATCGAGTTTTGAGTATTTTATAATATTTTATTTCATTGCAAGTGTTTGAGAAAAATTCTTATTTTGATAAATTCACTGTTTTTTAGACGGCATTAAGAGCTGTGGGACTGAATGATGAAACTCCGTTTAGTTTTGGAAATATCATTCCTCATCTTGAATTCCATTGGAGCTCTAGTAATATCGATGTATGTAAATTAAAGTCTCTATATGATAAGGTAAGTTAATGTTGGTGTTCTACTTAAAAACGTACGTACACCGCTGTAATAACTTTTGAACATTTGTTAAATTGTTTTTATATCTACCTTACCATTACACACAGTCATTACATATAGTTGTATATCATCGCATCTTCTTAGGAAAAATCATCTCTTTTTATTAAATATAGTTTTTATCTTTATTATGACATTCTCATCTGATTAATTTCCCAGTCCTCTTTGTGCTTAAAATTTGAAATCAATAAATCCCTTTTTCAAGGACGGCCGTGAATCGATAATTTGGAGGGTCCATAGTTATAATTTCATATGTTATAATCCGTAATCACTGTTGATTTCATTAAGAAGAACATGCATGTATAAATGTTAGCACACCCCATCTCCCCAATTATCAGTCTGCCGTCGAGCGTGCCTTTCGAAAAAGAATGTAATAGAATGATACACTCGTGCATACCTTACGAATTCAAGACGTTTCTATTGCTGATATATACCATTTCTAGAGTGGTGTTACGGTGGATTATGAAAGAGCATTTCGTGTTGTATTATCATGTAAACATCCTGGTGAAGTTATCATTAAACTAAAAGCTGTCTTTGCCGATCCTACTTATGAGCAAGCGATACTGACCGCTGACCTTTTCGATGACGTCAGAATACAGGTTATCTTACCGTCTTCGGATGTTACGTACATTAATTTAATATGAAAAATTTCTTTTTAAAGAAAGACTCGAAATCGTGTTCTGTTGTGTAGGTGTTTGAAAAATTACAGCTTGTTGTGCCCAGAAATGGTCACCTGTTGCTTCCTCATGACGTCACTACAAGAATTAAGACAAATAGGTAGACATTACGTCACTCTGATTTTTTAATTTTGACGTAATGACAGGTGATAGGCAGATCATTTATATCTAATCCTCAATCAGTAATACATGATGAATAATGAATAATCATCAATATTACGTATGATGTCATGGAGATATAATCCTTATAAGGTTTTCACGATGAATGATTATAAAACGATAATTCATTGTATTATTTATTAAAGTCTGCTAAGTTAAGTCTTTCTTTTACAATAGCGAATCAATAATAAATATTTCTTGCATGGTTTTTAAAAAACATGTTTAGTGTAACTGAGTGTTTGTATTATACTTTCATTTGAAATGTTTTTATGCGAATGATGCATGGATATTAGATGAAGTTTAATTTAGCTACCATTTAATCATTGGATCTATATTTAAAACTATTTATTATTAACTACATCACAGTTATTGTAAAATTGGAAATCTTTTTTCTTTCTCAGAGATGGTGGCAGACTTTCTTACAGTATAATGAACGTTTGTTCTCAATCACGTGACAAAGACTCCCAAGCACTGCTGACCATCGATCATCGCGGACATGTTAAGACCGGAATGATATCCGGAACGGCAGGAATTGTCGTGACGTCAAGAGAGGATTTTGGAGTTAACCAAACTGTCGTAGTCCATGTTGAGGTGAGTGTGTACTTCATGTAGTCCATGTGAAAGACGGCTGATGCTGTGGTATTTTATGGAAGTTGAGTACTCATAAGTTCTATATTAAAGCTAGTCTTATAAAACCAAAAATTCAATAATTTGAATCCGTGTTTTTAGTACTACATTAAAGATGATGTATCTTAATTTCTCTGTAATACGTAGGTAAAGTCAGTGTTATCTATCTCATTGGAGCCTTTATCTTCAGTTTATACTTTGTTTGAGAAACATCACGCGTTTCCTGTTGGCATCACTGCTATATTTTCCATTTCTCTTCATGACAACATTGGACGAAAGTTTGATTCTGCTAATGTTTACGTAAAACATAGACTGAACAGGTTGCCTCAATTCAATTTCAAAGAAAGGAGAGCTTTGCAGATAAACTGAAATATTCATTTTGACCTCGTTAAAGGTTTGATTCCATTCATGTTACACAAGGTCAAGATAATGGCACTTATTCAATACGCGCTCATAATGATGGAGAAGCAATTTTGAATGTACGTAAAGATTTTGTTCATCTAATAATCATATCGTACAAATCTTCAGAAAAGCTTTTCATGACATCACTGGATAACTTTTAACATCAGTCATATTTTTAGAACCGAAGCGTAGACAATTATGTTTGTTTGTGTTTAAACATTTCATCAGACCACAGGCATTCATGTTTAAAGAACTGGAGAAAATAGACGTTCTTCTCAACCAATAAACAAAAAAGTTATCGCTCATAATTTTCACTTACAGGTTGAAAAAATTTGTTGTCAAAACTCCTTCAGGGTGGAATGCATTTAAACTTCGTTTTGTGGCGCGTTTGAAAATTTCGTTAAAACGTTAACAAAACAATATCTTGCAATATTCTGATCATTGTTGTTTGTGTTTGAAACATGTCAAACATATTTTCCTTTGAAAGATGTTCATTTGTTGCCTAATATCTGGAATGCCTTCGTTATTTTTTTTCAATTTTCTATTTTTTGTTTATTTATATGCTAAATTGAGCATATGCCCCTTCACTAAAAATAGTTTTCGCAAATTTTATCGTTCTATTTTTCACTGCAGGTTTGGTTAGTGTCATCACCGCATATTGTGGATTTTATTCATCTTAAAGCTACTGAAGCCATCACTCCATTTACTCCTATATATTATCTTGGAGAGATGATTTGTTTTAAAGAAACCGTCATCGGCGATGAAGGTAGTAAATTATTTTAATTATACAATATTCATGCATGAATTTTCATATTTAATGTTACGAAAATTATGACATGATTTTTCAAGATTCTGGTGTTTGGTGGACATCGAAAGAAAACGTGCTTAATATAGATGGAGTAACAGGAGTCGCTATGGCTACAGGAAGTGGAAATACTCTAGTTTATTACAATGCATCGTCATGGCAACCAACGTATATTGAAGTTAAAGTGGTTCTATCTGATGTTGATATTTATATTGAAGACATAAAAACTATCTCTAACTCACTAGGTCCCAATATTAATGGTAGTTATTTGGTTCGTGTTGATTTTGCTTCTCAACGAAAAACTCCGCTGACTGGCTGTTCTGATGTCATCATACAAAATGAGCCTGCAGCATCCAGTGTTGAGTTTCCGTTTTCTTGCTCTCTGTCGTTTGAACATTTCACCAGTTTAAGTGTGAACAATGTTTTTTATGTGAAACCAGGTTATAAACTTGGCAAGAGCGCGTGTTTCATTTTCACAAGAACTTTAAGTAAAGATGACGCAATTCTTCTTACGTCATCTCAACCTAACCTCATAATAACTGTTACTTTAAGCGATAAAGATAACGCTGCTTACAAGAAGTCCAAAAGTACCGAACTTGACTTTTATCCTTCTTTTGTTCTTGAAAAGCACGAAGTATTCCTTTCAGCTTTATCTCCTGTTGTTACTGTTAAAATATTTGCAAGTGATGACATGATGAAGAGTTTAAAGGTAATTTAATTGTCTTTTAAACTCCTGTGTACACTTGATAAGACGTTTGCCAGAAATCATGGAAGCAAGGAAAAGTAGTTGTGTACGTACAACGTAAATAACAGTTAAAATATTAATTTTTTCTTATTTCAGGTTTCTGTTTCTTCGTCGTTGATCTCTGCAAATATTCATTACGGAAATGTTGCATATGTGGACATTTCATTGGTTGACACAAAGATATCGACGCTTGATGATGTCACGATTGAAATCAACAGTGATTTAACTTTTCAATCGGAAACAGTTACAATTGTGTTCCAGTCCACCAAACCGACACCCGCTGCCAGTCTTAACACTAACAATGTAAAAGAACAATGTCTTGGACCAGACTGTCAAAAATCATCTATTTTCACCCTCTACTATGCTTTGCTTATTTTGTTGACTTTATTTATAATTTTATTGTTATTTTTTGTGTGTCGACCTGTTCAAAGAATTCCACCTCCACCCAGAACGTCACCATACTTATATCAAAGTCCTCATCCTAATCGTACTTTTATGGACGGTACTTATAGTCAGAGTAATGTCAGTCCTGGTCGTCGTAGACACTCGCCAATACTCGGTCGTCGAACTCCTGGCTCATCGCCAAGAGGACTATTTAGTGTCACTCAATAACCAATGGAGATGAAGAAATGAATATAATTCTTCAGTCGTAATATAAAGTTACAAAATGACATCGTTGTATTATAATTTTTGTGAGATACTTTTCTAACCAAATTATTTTTTATAGGTGATTAAGATGTTTTTCTTGTGAACAATTTGTATTTGTGTAGCAGCAAATCTCCAATGATTGATATTTGACGTGTTGAACGAGCTCATTTAAAAAGTGTTTTTCATTTGTAATCAAGCTTTGAGTTTATTTAAACGTGAAAACTCATTGTATTGAATTCTACCTTAGGTGCTGTTTTAATGAACCCTACCAGGCGAGATCTTACGAGCTATTAAAAACCATATTTGTTTCTGTTTACATGAGAGAGGGGCCAGCCCTACCAGCCGATATCTCGCTATTGTTAATCCGAGGTCTCGCAGTGTCGAGTTGGAAATTTTTTATGTTAGAGCAACAGTGTGAACTAGCCTTCCCTGTAGAGCTGAAAATTTAACTAACATGCATGCGATAACGTTTTTTAGAAATGGCAGAAGGAAAGCATGAACGGGGGATTACACTCAAAAAAAGAGTAAAAAAACAAAATCAACTATAGTAGTTTTTCCGCCACTTTGTATTTAGCGCCAAAACTCGCTGTGCAAGCCGAGCTCTTGATGCAGGGCTAGAATTGGCATGTAACACTGGTAAAATACAGCCCTATAGGGAGGGCTAACCTTTCTCGTAGGTCGTAGTGCTCAGTTAAACAGCCTCTTTAGTTCAAATAGATTGCATGAATCAAAATATGTAATGCATTTAAATGTATTTCATATTATTCTAAAGCTACTAACATGTGAACATCGGTAATATACTGATAACTAAGTCAACAAGCTTCTATCTACTGTTTGTACTACAGTCGCTAAAAGAATTGAGGTCTTCAAATATAACTGTTTTGAATGATACCTTCCGCGTACCTACAAAAGATGTAATAATTTGAACATAAATTTAAACAGGAATAAAACACTATTCCTTACTTCTGTCATATCCATCACCACTTACTGTTTAGTAAAAATATCCTATTTGTTGATCACTGCTAAACTGAGACAAGAAACGTTTTCCAATCTTGGATGACAGACATCCCACTACTTCACAAGATTTTCCCACACACAAACTGACTCTGCAGTGAACACGTGTGTGGTAATGATGTAAACCACGAAAACGAAAAACAAGAAAACTGAATCTTGACGTTTGATGAGATGATGTCTTATAAAATCTCACCGTCTTGTCCTTTTGACAACTGTAAGAAATGAAAGTTGAATTAGTGACCTCAGGATTGATGATGTTCACGCAAGCACTAAGATATAACAAATTTATGAACGTGCATGTCAGCCACAAAAGTTTAAAAAGAGTAAGTACAGTTCTTTCTGCTAAACGTAGAAAATTATTAAACACAACATTCTATAAACAGTCCTTACTTTATGTTCACATTTTTTGTTTAAAATGCCCGCTTAAGAAGTAGTAAAGAAGTTAAGAATATTTCAAATAATATTACAATATAAATATTTAATGATAAAAATTTTCAAACAAATGTTTAGAGAAAAAAATATACTAAATTTGTTAAACTATTTGTGGAAAAATTATTATTGGGACTAACACCCTGTAGCCACTCTGCTCCCCAAAATTCAAGAAAAATACTTTTTTACACTTTGCTTTCTATTTTTATTATAGAAATAAAACATGTTTGTCCTTGTTTGACATTTCATTAGTTAAACATTTTAAGCTACGCTCATAGCTTCAAACAGGGTTAATTTTGTCGAGTCGTCACGTATTTGAAAAAACTTACCCACGTTCAATAAGAACATATTTAAATTGACGCGAAGAGCTTTTTGAAGTAACAAAGCATTCATTTAACTTTATTCCAACAGTTGAGTTTGTTTTGTTTGTATTACGTTTGACTTCAACATAAAGACGATCTCCCATTGATGGATTTGTTGTCAATGATTGACTGAAAAGTTCATCTGTGTACAGCGACATAACTATGGACACTTGGCCTTTTTAGTGACAGTTTTATTTTCGACGGTGAAGTTTTCAAGACCAAAGGCTGACGAGGAAATAAGAAAATTATGAGGATAAGAACATTTAAAAGGAAACTAGATCTCCTTTTCTCTTGAAATGTTGTGTTTGAATGAGTTGAATCCTGAAAAACTTTCGATGATTTTATTATGAAAAGAAATTACTTTTCCGCCATTTTCAACAGTCATCTTCGTCCCACATCCAGTTAGTGAAGTTGTAAAGATCAAATATAATTTGGTTGATTTGGGTTTGCAAGAATTGTCAGAAAGTTGAAGTTGAGAAGCTGAAGTAACTTTTAACAATGATTTCTTGATCCAAAAAGTAATGTTGTTTTCACCACATATCAATTTATCTAAAATTTAACGTGTGAAGAAAAGATTATTTATTGACCACAACTACAAAAAATCAAAAGTTGATTGTGAAAATTTCAACGAGTTGAATATTTTTGACAAGTCAACATGATTTTATCATGGAGGGAGCATGGTATCCAAATTACTTTATAAAATAAACACAACGAAACGCGTGCGCTGATTGGTCTAGAGCCGTGTTTGCATTAGCCTGTGCAAAGCCCGTCCGAGCTCAACCAATCAAATCCATCAAAACAGTCAATCAGTCAAAGAGAATTTGCAAATCGATCATGAATACATTTTAGAGGGAAAATTAAAATGTTTGTCTTTTTCGCATTGTTGTTATTGTATAAAAGAAATAAAAGATGTTTTTCGTGTTTGCACTGGCTTATGCAAACCTCAGAGACGTTTAGTGAGAACTCGAGCATGTGTAACTCTCGACCTTCGGTCTCGGGCTTGCACTGATCTGCTCTCGAGTTCTCCCAAAGGTCTCCTCATTTGCATAAGCCTGTGCAAACACAGTAAACATCTTTATTTCTTTCGAGTACGTCTGTCGCTGACAAGTGACAAGATCATTATCATATATGTAAATTTTTGTTTTAATATCGTGGAAAGAGCTCTTGATCCGAAAATGAAAACTTTTTGCTCACTCAAAATAATTAAGAATTAATTGCCCACTTCTTTTTTCAAGAGGGTCAATTTCTAATTCACATATGTTTCGAAATTACAAGATTTTTGAAGATAGGCAATAAAAACAGGATAAAAAGAAAGGTTTGCTCATAAGTAATCAAACAATGACAATTTTTGTGTATACGACGCTCATGAATGTTCAAAACGCATTCATATGTGCAAGAAAATTTCGGTGACAATAGTGCAGCAATTTAGTATGTTTTCGTCCCGTCAATGCAGTAAATTTTAAAGCAATATCATTATTAATTCTCCAGAGAAATTTATCAAACACGACACATCGCGAATCATTTCATAAAAAGGCGTAAAATGGGGTAAGAATGTCTTGGAATCATTCTTAAATGAAAATATCACAAAATGTTTGCACCATTTTTACATCCTGTTCTTCTGGGCTAGAAAGGCGATTTACTGAGTGCCACTTCTTATTTACGTGACTCATTTCTCTACTTAGAGTCTCTCTAACTGTTTTATACATTAACACTAGCAAAACATCTCCTACTCCTAAACGATATCAAAGCTAATAAAATAACTATAGCCCAAGCCCATGTAACAATGACTTGTTGACTTGTTATTGTGACAGTTTTGTGTTTCTTCGAGAAATTTTTTCATTTTAGACTGTTTCGTGTCAAGGATTTATGTTGACGTATTCAGTGCTTCGGTATGTGACAGATAAGTCATCTGCTTTTATCACTTCATGAGATATGGCTAAAAACCGTAGAATGGGTAAAACTCCACGAGCATGACAATAATTTAGTAAAAATTCTTTTTTGCACGTGAAGAAATATGGCTTTGCTCAATGTCTATTCTTGCATGATTGTGCATTGGTCTAGCAGTGTAGAAGCTAGATATTTAACAAACACGAAATGAATTCTGTGAATATCATATTCATATGTTATTCAGTGTATAAAGTGCATTCAGTGCACAACACAAAACTCATTACAAAAAAACAATGAGATTTTAGTACTTACAATTGATCTTTCTTTCATGTATTTCACTTTTTTGACAGATGAAATCATTAAAAATGCTGCATGAAATGTCATTCCATTTGCGTGGCACAGTGTAGAAATGAACACAATCCTCTTTACCGCGTGCGTTGTTAGGTTCACCAGGAATCCAATTTATAAAAGTAGGTGCTACATTATGGACTGTATAAAATTTATTGTCGTTTTTATTGCGAAACAAACCAATAGAAGGATATGTAAGTTTTCTTCTTTGTGAAAATTTGTAAATAGCGTCATTTTCAGCTTTATTTTTTGGAACAGCAAGATCTCCACCCTTCTGTTGACAAATTCTTCTGGCTTCATGCCATGTTTTTTGCGTTGTACTGAAGAAATAGCAAGATGACTGTAGCTTTATCCAGTCTGAAGGACAACTACTGACTTTGTTAACTAAATAAACGAAAAAAAAATCAGTTATATTATTAACATGAAATCGTAAATAGAAAAGTTATGATGTTAATGACAGAAATAAAATTGTTAAAAATATCATTAAATGCATATTGTACCAAGTAAATTGACTACGACAGTCATCAAAAGAAATATTAGTTTGAACATTTTCGAACCACAATGATTTCTTGTGACAAACTATAAACAAGATTTACGTTCTAATGTAATAATAATTATCACTGCAACATGTTTATTGAATATATCCAAGCAAAATGCTGAAACATTAAAATGCAAATCAAAGGTAAATATTGATGTCAAGCTTAATATACGTATACTGTCCTCCTTCCTAGAGATGATTTTTGTGAGAAAATGACTACGCACAAGTGTTTTCTTTAATTATCTTGTTTTGAATTTTAAATTGTTGCATTTCACGAGAAAAATTGTGATTAACACGATCCACCTCCACTGCAATACAAAGCAACTTATATTACGTTAATTTTTGTTTAATACATTATTCGTGTTCATTCTCACACTTCCTGACATGGAAAATGAACAGAACCGAACATAATAAATATTTGAAAAAAATGCTGCACTTTTGGTTACATATTATTAGCCTCTCCCAAATTCCCTCCCGCATTTAGGACTGTTTAAGAACTTCTTTGTGGCAATTCTTTATCGACTTATCGTATGAATGTAATTGCCCAACATAAAACTTTCAATATAGCCATGGGTAAACAATTTTATTAACAATAACATATAGGAAGTTAGAAAACATATATACTGATTATACAATATTTACAGAGTGTTAAATTTACAAGGTATAGTTATGACAGTGCTGTGTGATTTTTTGATTTTTTCTGTTAAGGAATAGAGTGGTGTTGAATGGAATTATATGAGATTTAGTGGGATGGAACTGCCTTGGATATTAAGAGATGGTTCAAGCTTAGAGATGAGGAGGCTTTCATCTATGGATAGTTCGTATGCATTAGGAGAGGAGGATAGAATTTTGAAGTCGTCAAAGTCGGCAGAGTGATTAGTGGTTTTGAGGTGGGTGAGCACAATTTAAACTATTTTGCTAGCTAAGTGATTTTCTCAGCCGCCTATGGAAAAACAAAGAAAAATTTGGATAGCAGGACAAAATTTGCCAGTTTAGTACCACTTTCATTGCATCATAATTTTACGGAGTGCATTTCCCAAATAATTATCTTTAATTTTTTTATCTTAAGAATCGCGCATTTAAACAGAAGGTAGTAAGTAGGAAAGTCATTTTTCCTCATCATTCAATAATTCGCATGTTTTTCAGCAGCGTCTAAATTAAACACACTTTCCCCGTAATTTTATCAATATCCGCCAAGTTAGAAATTCATTTCCGGTCAACATTTATGCAATTATCATATAATTTATGCATGAACTACAATAATAATTACGCAATATTTCGTCTCCTGTGTCCTTCAGTTGAGCTTCTTTTATATAAATTGTTTTAGTTGTAATTTTAAGTAATTATGGACAAATATTTGACTTTAGACAATCTTCAAATAGCTTTAAAGTTCTCAGGCATAATTTCAACAGGAATATTTGCTGGAGGAGCAATTTTTGTTGGTTCATCTCAATTGCCCGGAATTCTCGCAATGACCGATATGGATCAAGCTCTCATTAACTTTAGATATTTCTGGCCAAGAGTTAGACAAATGGTTTGTATTATCATTCAGTTCTTTCATGACATTATTTTTAAAATAACTCTAATCTGCGAAGTAAAAAGAGAAGATAATAGGAATTTCATGTTTACTATAAATTATTAGTGAGGCGTCACCGTCAAGGCCGTTGGTTCAATGAGAGTAAATTATAATTTTTTTCCAATGATTTGAATATTTTAACTACATTTACACGTTGAAGGTTCAAGAAATAGCAATTTGGATAATTTTTCTTTATCTGTGAGTTATAATCTCAGCAAAAACTGCAGCAGAATTGTATTAAAGAAGTTCTCTCTAGAATTGATATGCAATATAAATAACACAATAGTAAAATTAGGATTGTGAAATGGGTCAAAGTCCAACAATTTCTCTGTAGACATGATTCAATATTGTTATGATGAGATTGTTATTGTTGTGTTTATTTATATAATTCAAACATATTACCAGAAATGTAAAAGCTAGTTTTGTATGTCAATCATTGTCATTCTATGCTGGACTTTAAAATGTCTTACTGTTATGTAGAATGCTAAAACTTTAGCATAAAATGCTTCAAGAATTGCTCTTGATGCATTTTATGATTCATCTGCACTTAAGATATTTTGTTGGAAGAAATGAGCTGGCATATATGTATACTATTTCTTAGGTAAATAATTTATTCTGCAATAGCACAAGGCTTATTACACATCTTAAATAGACAACAAGTTTTTTTAATGATGCAAAGATGCCGTAAAGTTTGCTGAAACATGTTTGCATCATTAAAAAACTTTTCGTAAATATTTATATATTCTTTAACTGTTAGTATTCTTCAACTGTCAGTATTCTTCAAGTGTCAGTATTCTTCATCTGTCAGTATTCTTCAACTGTCAGTATTCTTCGTCTGTCAGTATTCTTCAACTGTCAGTATTCTTCAACTGTCAGTATTCTTCAAGTGTCAGTATTCTTCAACTGTCAGTATTCTTCAACTGTCAGTATTCTTCAACTGTCAGTATTCTTCATCTGTCAGTATTCTTCAACTGTTAGTATTCTTCAACTGTCAGTATTCTTCAACTGTTAGTATTCTTCAACTGTCAGTATTCTTCAAGTGTCAGTATTCTTCAACTGTCAGTATTCTTCAACTGTCAGTATTCTACAAGTGTCAGTATTCTTCAACTGTCAGTATTCTTCAACTGTCAGTATTCTTCAACTGTCAGTATTCTTCAACTGTCAGTATTCTTCAACTGTTAGTATTCTTCAACTGTCAGTATTCTTCAACTGTTAGTATTCTTCAACTGTCAGTATTCTTCAACTGTCAGTATTCTTCATCTGTCAGTATTCTTCAAGTGTTAGTATTCTTCAACTGTCAGTATTCTTCAACTGTCAATATTCTTCAACTGTCAGTATTCTTCAACTGTGAGTATTTTTCAACTGTAAGTATTTACTTGTACATTACATAAAAACCTTAAGAACCTTAAGAAACTGGCATCATGGAGGCTGAATGTAAGTTAACTGTCCTCCCTTGATTGTATTAGCAGATTTTGTATAAAGTTTTGGCCTAAAGTGTAAGTCTTTTTTTAGCCTCGAGCGGCAATTACTGGTAGTGTGTCAGGTATAGGAGCATATCTTATCAAACGAAAAGTTGAAGATCTGCCATGGCTGATTGGAGGAGTAGGGATGACGTTTATTGGTGCGTATACATTGAAAGTGGTTTATCCAAAATCTATTGCTCCCTTACTGGATCCTGATCTTCTCAAAGATAACGGTGAGGAGAACTAGATTTAATGAAATTTAGACATGTATTGTTATGATATCATGTTACTAGTTATTCTCCTGTTTTTTCGTACTTTTCTCCCACGTAATGTTTGTATAGTAGTATAGATTGCACACGTGGCCACAGGAGATTGCCCACGTGGCCACAGGAGATTGCCCACGTGGCCACTGGAGATTGCACACGTGGCCACTAGAGATTGCCCACGTGGCCACTGGAGATTTAATGTTCATTTTTTTACATTGCTAGATGAAACACATGTCAGAAATACGTTCAAGAAGTTCGCTGATTATCACGATGTTCGTACTTACATTGGTACAGCTGCTTTTGTTGCCTTTACTTTTGCATACTTCAAATCAACGTATAACTAAAATCAACTAAATGATTATCATTGTTAATTAATTTTATGGATATATTTCTTATGTAGGATAAATATTATATACCTGTCAATTTTCTTTGCCATATTTATCCTGTTATAGAAGAGACAATAAAAGTGAAAATATAAATTGTAGTTTTCTTTTATCTCAGTACATGTCGCCTTGAACTCTGACATGGGAACATTGGTTATGTACTGAACTAAGTCAACAAAAAATTACTCTTCGTACAACAGCTACTAAAAGAATTGAGGTCCTTAAATCTGTTTTGAATATTACCTTCCGTGCACCTATAAAATATGTAATAATTAGAACATAAATTTAAACAAGAGTAAAACACCTTTCCTACTTTCTGTCATATGTTATGATCCGTGAATACTTACTGTTTAGTAGAAATATCCTATTTGTTGATCACTACTAAAATGAGACAAGAAACGTTTTCATTCTTGGACAATTGGCATCATTAGATTCATTTAATTTTATTCGAATTTTTGCTTTCATGATGTATGCGAGATTGATAGACGTGAATAAGCCCACCATAATTAACTATAACAGTACTTTGGACAAATTTAATTTATCATGAAATTAATGAACGACATTTGGTGATTGTTTTTTATATAAATTAATGGCTAAATCAAAAAGTACAACATTAAAAATGATGCTTTCAATACAAAATGTATTTATGTATTCAAGACTATTAATTAATCTTATATTTAGAACATACAAAAACATCTGCGTTAAAACAGTTGTGCCATTATTTGTTTTTAAGTTCAAACATAATGGATATCTACCGCCTCATATACAAATGATTCTAATGCTGGCGATGAACATCGTATTATTAATGGACCGATGTTAAATTCGTTGATGATTTTTTCTTGGCTAAGGTCATCATAACTTTGAAAGAAAAATTGTCTTTTCATGATTGGTAATCATTACTATCCTACGTAGACTTGCCGATGATTTATACAAATCCGCCATCTTTGATCATCATGTTGATATTATGGATTGGTTAAAAAGATTTGCTTTTGAACGTGTGATATGTAACTCATTTTAACTTGAAATATTTCCAAGTTTCTATATATTTACGTTGTTGTTTGTCAGTATTGAACAACATTTGGCAGCTTACCATTCAATACTTCATCTTAAAAATGTAACAAAGTCATTTCTCCTTAAATTTCCTCTTCTCCTTTTCTTGTCATCCATTTTATGCGTAATAAATTTCATCAAATAACACATTCTTTCAACTTGTCTTTTTAGTCATGTTTTTTTGTTCCGTTTCTATAAGTCAACTTGAAATTCTATACTATATCAAGAAAATACACTCAAAAGTACAAAAGAATCACTTAACTTGAAGGAGTTTAAACGACATTTGTAATTGCTTAAAAAAATATTTTGTTAACTCGAACGTGCAATAATTACGTTTTTAAAAAAATTGCCCATATTTTACAACAATAAATTTGTGATTTAGTTTCACTTTGTAAGTTTTGATGAGCGAGTCATCAATAATGAACTTAGAGGTAAAAATAAGAGAGCCGTCGTTTAATTAAATAAATGCTCAATATGCCTGAATTTATAAATCAAATATATTTTTAGTAAGGTAACTTGAGTAATAAAACAGTCGAATAAAAAGTGATGAATTCAAAGAAGTGGTTTTCCCAGAAGACACACACATGTTTGTTGATGCAAATATTTCTTTGTTAAAAGATTACAATATTGTGGTGTGCTATAATATGGATGTATTGAAAACAATTCTAGATCTCAGTAAATGACCTGTTAGCCACAAGACAAACTGAACAGCTGGGAAAGTCAATGTTTTTTTTTATCAAGCACTGCCGTCTTTTATAGAACATTATCGAATGTTTGTGTTAGATTTGCTCCACTGAACTCACCGTAAAGACAATTTAGTTTAACAAACCCCAGATGTAATTAAAAAGTTTGTCATACCAATTCTAATTTTGCTCTGTTATTGACAATTTGCAATGGCTGAAGCTGCAGAAGTGAGTCAACCGATTGGCTGTTATGTTGGTAAGAACTTTATTTTATTTGCAATCAACTATGTTAAATAAAAATGTTACAATTTTTACTATTGAATGTTAATTAAAATATATTGCAATTACATAGCTGAATACTTCAATCGCTTATACTAACATTCAGGTACTGTTGAAGTAAGGTTAATCCAATTTCTAGAACTGTTAAAATTTGAATCAACGCAAAGTTGTCCAGTGACGTGACTGACAGCTTTGACTTGAACGAAAGCTTGCAGCTCCAAAATAAAATATTTGAAAGAAACGGCTGTACTTAATTTCATCAAACTACATAAATTTAACATCTAAAGATTTTCTTCTTCGAAAGTTAGTTTTCTTCATATTTTCTTGCACGATTTACAGAAATGAGAAATGTAATGCATTGAGGTATATCGATTTTCCATTAAATTATACAAAAAGATTGCTACAAACTAGAGTTTAGTGTAAATATCCTGAAAGTGAAAGTAATATTTTCTAAGACATGATCACGTTAGTTAATGTTTGTGATCTTTTTACTTAAATTTATTGAGTTTATTCATCTAATAATAAAAATGATAAAAATTTTGATAATAAGAGTTATAATAGTTTAACATTAAAGATAGTAATATTTTATTTGTTTTTAGCTCAATACAAACAAAAGACAAGCAAGGGAGACTGGGGGAAACTTGAACCCAGTACTTTTTTCCAAAAATAAAATTTGAGCTAGCATTTAAATAGTTTAATCTAACTAAGCCATGTGACACACGTATTAAATTTAGTAATGTAATTTGTAGTCCCTTTCCCACAGGTTTAATTTCGTGGCGCTGTCTGTGAAAGCCATTAATATTTTTTTCTAAAGTTGATTTAATTTTACGATTTTTAGACACACGCGAGGAGACAAATATCCGTGCCTACAAAAAATGGATAAATTCAAAGATTGGAAAAGTAAAAGAAAATTTTGATTTTCGTTCATTTTTATGAAGTCATTTTATTTTTGTTTCTTTCCAGAAACACGCCCCTGTTGAAAATTTGATTGAAGACTTACGTGATGGTCGTGTTTTGATTTCATTACTTGAAATTTTGTTAAATAAAAGAATTGTACGTCATATTAAATATCTTCACGAGAATGCAGGGAATATACCATGTATCTTTTTGTTTTAGCCTTTTTCCAAAGGAAACATGAGATTTCATCACCTTGACAATGTTAGAACAGTGTTGAATTTACTTCGAGAGCAAGGGGTAAACTTTATTTTATGCATAGAAAATTTAATTTATTTAAAGTAAATGCTCCTATTTTTAGCTAGCTAACAGCTCGAAATGAAGAAAAAGGAACAGCAAATCTCATTTGAGACATACAAACATACAGTTGATGATCTCACTCGCAGAGACCGCGGGAGTTTAAATATTATAAATACCTTTTCCATTTACAGTTGAAACTTCATTTTATAAACAGCGAAGCAATTGTCGATGGAAACAAAAACTCAATTCTTGGTCTCATCTGGATGATCATACTTCACTTTCAGGTCAAGATTATGAAGTTTTTAGAGTTATGATTAAGAGAATGCATACACAGAAAAACTTCAAAGATGTTATATTCATGGCTGGGTAACTGATCACGCATAATTTTCTTTGATTTGAGAAAATTTATTATAACAATAAGTAAAAATCACATGACACAATACATAGAGGAGGTCTGTCGGAACAAAAGCTTTTCGGTCAGCAAAATGAATAAGAAAACACGAGTTATATACCTAGACATTTATAAATTCCTAATGTTGAAGTGCTTAAGACGATATTAAACCAACAAGTTATTACTTCTCAATATCTTAGTCTTGACGTTTACTTTACGTCGGAATAATTAAATTGTGAAAAAATTTATGAAAATTAACAATTATTTTAATATATAACCATATAAGCTAATCAAACGAGTTTTGTACTTTCAGCCAATAGAATAATGTTGTTCTTTACGTATATCTTAGTTTTGCTGTTAGCAAAAAATCCCACTGCTTCCAAAATTTCATTTGAAACACAACTTTTTTACTTTCTTCTAGGTTAAAGAAATTGTGTCAAATAAGGAAAACAAAAATGCAAAACCCAGTGATTCTTCTCCTCGAAAAAAATCTCTTTTGAGTCAGGCTGAAGCTGAAAAACTGTTATTAAGCTGGATACAACATGTTCTTCAAGGGTAAATAACGAAAATTTAAGGATTGCACTGTGTATATATACAAATTTATAATTTTGTTTGATTAGATTTTCAAATGGAGCCACGATTAATGATTTTAAAAAGAGTTGGGAAGATGGCTTTGCATTTATTTATCTTCTTCACGCCTTTCGGTAATGTTCACCTTTGATTTTATTTTTTTAATGTATGAATTAATTATACAACAAATCTTATTCTTTTTTAGACCAAGTGCTGTCGACATGAGCGAAGCACAGAAAATGTCAGTTGCAGATAGATTAGATTACTCCTTCAATGTTGCGGAAAAAGAGTTTGGCGTTCCCGGTTTATTGGAATCTTCAGGTAAATTTTGATATCATTTATTTCATAGAAAAAAGTTACTAAACAATGTATCAAAATCGTTTTGGTAGAGGTTGAACAAGGTAACTTTGAAAAGAATGGAATGTTGATGTACCTTTCTTCATTATACGAAGTGTTAAGGAATCAGGAAGTACAAAAGACTTCGTTGATGATTGAGGTATTTTATAAAATATGATCGTCGGTCGATAATGTTTCTTGTTATGATTTATAAACTGACTTAATATCTGGCCCAGTGGCCAATGTTAACGAGTGTTTCTTATGTTGATTTAATTATGTCCGAGATGATAGCCAAGGTTATTGAGTGTTTCTGTGTTTATTTACACGCAGCCTCAAAAATGTACAGTATGTATTGGTGAAGACGTCATTCACATTCAAGTTGTGTCAAAAAACGAGATTGTCTTACGTTACATGAAACTATACTACACGGTCTTATATTCAATAAAAGAATTGGAAAAGAGAATGAAGGCAATCGAAGAAAAAGAGCCATGCCAGGAGAGTGCCATTGAAGTGAAAGTAAGATGATCGTTTGATTTAGCTCACTTATTTGCTTTGTTTGGTGAAATAATCATTCATCTACGATTTACTTTCCCCAATTAATACCTGCATTGTAAATATTCTAAACAAGCCTGCGCTTTATAACATATCGTAAACGTCCATTGAATACAGAGGCGTTTTTATAAACACAATGAGATGTAATATTCATACAGGAAATATTATGCAAAACGTTGGTGAAAAATCTAAAATGGAAGCTGAGTTTTTAAGTGACTTGTTGGAGGCTTGTTTTAATTGCTTAGAAAATTCAAATGGAAAAGGAAAAGTTGAAGACGAAGATTGAAGAACTAAATACAATAAATCAAGAGATGTCAAAGTCACCAGGAGTTGACAGCAAGGAATTCTCGGAAATACAAAGAGAATTGGAAGAGCTTAATAAACGTTGGTCGGCACTTTTGAAGCTAATAAATAAAGAACTGTTGAGGTATGAGCAATTTTCTATCTTTAAAAAATCTACTTTTAAATTATTAAAGTATTCTTCTCGTTGCTTTGCAGACAGCCTGCTATTGCTCAGAAAATTGTCAACGTGAGTTTGATTGTGTGTTCATAGTTGTTAAGCACAGCATTGTTTTAAATTTCATCATAAGTTTCTATGATATTTCCAGAGGGCTCGTTATTCTATTGACAATGAAGTGTATGACATTACGTCCGTGTCTAGAAACGAAATTGTCCTTAACTGTAAAGTTTTATATCAAGAAATTGTCGCCATCATAGAACAAGCTGAAAAAAATATCGAAATTATCAACGATGAAAAGCCGAGTCAAAAAACAAATAGAAAATTTGATGTAAGCAACATTTGATACATGCTATCTGTATATTTTTCTTTCACGAATTTATTATAACTCGATATGGACGAATAATTTGTCTTAATCAACACTCTTGAACAGGGCTACGTACAGTTCAAATCTACTTTTACTCGTCATTCATCAAAAAAAGCTAAAAATTATTCATGGCTCCAAAGTATCCAGAAAACTAACAGTCATCTATCAAGTAGATAAAACTTCATGGTTGCAAGCATATGTAACATAATTATTTCTGATCAGTGATCAAAAGTAAAGCACAAACGTTTAAGCAAAATTCCTACACAATATGGGGTTAGGCCATTGCGGCAAATATGCTTGTGTATGTAATGAAATCTTGTCTCGATAAAGGCATGTATGTTATTTTAAATGTTGCTGAAATTTTAGGAAACTGTTCAAATAGTTGATCAACTTCAAGAGAAGTTTGCAAAAATGAATAGTCTTATGAGTGAGATGAAAGATGCTGAAAATGTCGACTCAGAAGAACGCGAAGAACTGCAAAAGAATGTTAGAGATTTTCAGTCTCGTCTCACTCGTGCAAATGACTTTATCTCAAAAGTAAGTTGTTTAACTGATAAAGGCAAACAGTATTTTATACCATCCTTGAATAGAGTTATGGTTGCTCCTCATACCTGTGATAAAGAGCTGTAAAACGTTCCTTTTTAACGAGTTTTAGATCTTTTTTTCTTTTTAATACAGGCAAAAAATATGAAAATCTCTTATATTTCTGCTTTTTACAGAATCAAATTACAAGCGCTCCTGAAACCAGGACGTTGAATGTCGATGGAGAGATTATACATATTACAACAATCTCAACCAATGAGATCGTCGTACGCTATAAGATTCTTCATTACGAAATATTACATGCTGTCAAGAAACTGGAAAAGACATTTGAAACTATACAAAAAGAGGATCCAAGCCAAGAAAATGCGAAAGCCTTGAGAGTGAGTCGAACTGAGATTATTTTAAAACTGTTGTAGATTTATTGCTGTGTTTTTTACTGTAAGTAAAACGTAATTTATAAACTGAAAACTGATGCTTGAAAAACGTCAAGAAATGATTCTTTATTTAGAAAGTCCACTTAGAAATGGATGAATTACAGGATAAACTGAAAGAATTATACGAGAATCTTAAAGAAATGTCTAACTCCTCTGGAGTTGATCGCAAGGAATTCTTGGAAATTCAGAGAGAATCAGAAGAAATAGTTGAACGATGGTCCATACTGGTGAAACACAATAATAAAGAAGTTTTGAGGTGAGAGAAAGTTTGTTTTGATGACTAAAGACAAATATATTGATCAAAGAATTTCATTTTGTGAAATAGACAACCCGCCATTTTGCGCGAAACCAAAAGAGCAAGAACTTCTCATGTAAGTTTGTTGAACATGAAATTAAAAATGTTTGTCAGCGCAGTGAATTGTGAGCATCAGAGTCAATGCTGCAAGCAATTTGTTCGAGAATGTTCGAGAATCCACTATTGTTTACTGTAGTCTTTTATGCTCTCTATAGAGGACCATACTCAACACTACTCAAACATAGTCTATCATTTTTATAATAGTCTGCCATCATCAACATTCTTTTTTAGAGTGGTCGTTTAACAATTGAGGATGAGGTGATTGAAGTTAAATCAGTTTCTTCCAATGACATTGTCATTGTATACAAAATTACGTTTCTCGAAATTATGACCATCATCAAATTAATTGAAAAAAACAATGAAACGATTAAGAAAGAAGAACCAAGTCAGAAAACGGCTGCATTGCTTGATGTAAGTAAAGTTAATAAATCGTTTGTTTTAATATGACAGTTTCTACCTCTGAAAATTGTGAAACTACAAAGATATTATCATAAGAATTACAACTCTTACAAGAAAACTTTGTCAACGAGCATTGAACAATGTTCTATCAATTCTAGGAGAATACTCAGAGACTAGATGAGCTTCAAGATAAAATTACAAAGTTGAATGATCTTATGACCAAAATGGAAGTTGCTGAGAATGTTGACTCAGAAGAATTTGGTGAAATACAAAACGAATTCAAGGATTTTGAATCGCGTCTCAGTCTTGTCAATGACTTTATCACAAAAGAACGACAAAGGTAATTTCTATGATTTAATACCGCTGTCTTCATCGCTTATAAAATAGATACAATGCAACGCATGCGCTGATTTGTCTAGAGCTGTGTTTGCATAAGCCTGTGCAAAACGATCTGAGCTCAAGCAATCAAATCAATCAATCAGTCAAAGAGAATTCGCAAATCAATCATGAATACACGTTAGAAGAATATTAAAACGTTTTGTTTGTTTTGCATTATTGTTATTTTATAAAAAAAATAAAAGATGTTTTTCGTGTTTGCACTGGCTTATGCAAGCTTCGGAGAACTCTCGAGCAGGTGCAACCTTCGACCTTCGGTCTCGGGCTTGCATTGATCTGCTCTCGAGTTCTCCCAAAGGTCTCCTCGATTTTCTTAAACCTGTGCAATCAAACATAGTACGCATCTTTTATTTCTTAATTGTTGAACAATCCGTATGTTTCCTAGGCAACCCGCTGTCTTGAAGAAGACTTTGTACGAGACATCTAGAGAGGAAGAAATGGTGTTCAGTTTATTTGTTGATGTGAAATTACATCTTACTTAAACAAATGTTTTTTGCCGGCCAAGTAGATTGGTAAATAAGCAAAAGGGATATTTTAATTGCACATTTAATCTGAAATCTTTGCACGTAGTGTAAACATTTAGCAAACCAATACACATTTTATTTGTTATTCATGTACGTAGCTATTAGTTGAAATTTACTTTAATGATAGACAGATAGAGCCAACAACTACACTTATAATGTGATTAGTTTTCATACGTGAGAAACATACTGTAGAAATAGATGACAAACTTTCATCTTCTTAAAACTAATATATGTAATGGGTCATATTGTGAACAAATTTTAGATAATTTGTTTCATTCGATCTCGTTGTGAAATGGTGTTGATAGCCTTGCGTTTTTGGTTGACTATCTTTTATTTTATCATTTTGGTTTAGCTTTTCGTGAATACGACTGGTAGCGCCGATACCAATATGATTTCGTGAAAATACTTACGTTAACATCGTTTTATTAAAAAACTTTTCACTAGTGCGCTGTAGTATCCTTTGAATGTGACAGTTTTCAATTTTTCGGAATAACTACAAGGATAAAATCGCAGCTAGTTGCGTCAAATCCTCTTGAACTTCCTCTTGTGAGTCGTCATTGACCTTGTTCATCCAGTAATGTTACAACAAAACCTTCTAATACCTTAGAGATTCCATGCCATTTAAGACGTTCTCCATTAGGAATAATGCACTTTGTTCAAATATTTTGGCAACTTTATCCAAATCAACACTTGACGAATCATAATTTAAAAATGAGCTATCAGATGAACGAACGTCCGCCTGCCGTATTACCTGAGCAGGACTTTCATTCTAGGGGAGGGCATTTGGAAAATGTTGATGCAATTTATGACAGTTAGCACACAGCATAATTTTTATATCTTATGAGCATTTGAATTACGCTCATCTGACAACCTCATTTTGTGGCCTATATTTACCTGTATGTACGCAATCGTACCTGTTTTATTGTACTGTTGGCTGTCAAAGTGGAAGCATTAAATTTCATTCTTTGTCGAAATTTAAATTGAAAACAAAATCGTAATTATATTTATTCTCTCGCGTAATGTTTTGCTTTTTTTTTACTTGCAATACATCGGAGAGAGCAAGTTAACATAGTTGCTGTTCAGTAATTTAGTAAAGCTGTTTTTTTAAGTGTTGCAAGACAGGCAAGTTGAGTTTCAACTAGTCACAAGTATATAAATAGAATTTTTCGAATAAAGCTACGTTCTAGATTGATTTCTTTTCAAGAACATCATTACATCACCATCATGATGAAATGTCATAAGTGTTAGATTTTAGTTCATATTTAAAGTTTTGCTTGTTTATTTCTCGTAAGATGAGTTTGTGCATTCATTATCAATTAATACCTATCGGGTTTGTGTATTTCGAAATAAATAATTTTAGTAATAAGTGGAAATTGTTTTGAACGTAGATTTAAATTACTGATTTTTAATTGTAGTTTCATGTGGATATCCATGAAAGGTTGTAATGTAGTTTTTAGTTTTCTGATATTCATTGTAATGTTATTTAGATGTCAGTGGAGACGTGTTATGATAAAGTTAAAACAGTGAAAAAAAGAAAGAGGATTCTTTTCTTAGAAGATAGCAGTGATGAAGATACAGATGACGAATCAGATTATGGTGTGTTTTTAAAATTTTTAAATATTTCTACAATAAATACATTCACGAGTATTTTGACGTGAAAAAACATTTTTTCTGAAACAAATTTTTTGCAATACACTTCAATTGATTTGTTCTATCAATAACCATGACCAGCCGACAATTTGAAGAAATATAGTGTAAAACAAATTCCGAAGAAGCAAGACATCTTGAAATTGCAAAATATGAATCAAAACAAGACGAGAAGTGAAATGTAAATTTTCGACTTTATTTCAAAGTCATCCTCAGACTATTTTAAATATCATTCTGTCTGAGGATGACTCTGAAATAAAGTCAAAAATTTACATTTCACTTCTCGTTTTGTTTTGATTCATATTTTGTAATCTCAAGATGTCTTGCTTCTTCGGAATTTGTTTTATATTATTGTTCTATCAATGATATGCTCTTTTAAAATTGATATTAAATCCATTGAATAATGTGATAAAGATATATATTCTAGCCTTTTATGTAGAATTGTACATAATTTGTAGAAAGCAACAGTGAAGATGAACTTGATAACCTGATATCAGATGATGAAAACACGCAAGAACATCAATGTGCTATTTGTTTACTCAACTTCAATTCACAAGTTCTTGGTGTTCCCAACAGCTGTCAACATGTTTTTTGTCTATTATGCATACAGGAGTGGGCTAAGGTTTGATATTATTCCATTTTTGTGTTCATTAAAGTAAGCTGCTCAAATGTTTGACCAGTGATATATCCAGAGAGAAGGGGGGCAAGGACCAAACCACTCTGGCAAAAATTTTTCCACCCCTCCTGAAAAATACTATGTCTTGCTTATATTATATTGTTTAAATGACAGTTACTAGCCCCTTCCCTTTTCCCTGCCCCCCCCCTCCTTGATACAAAATTCTGGCTATGCCAATATGTTTGACATTATTTTTGCTGAACAATAAAACTATCATTTGTATTATGTTGTGTTAAATTTTAGAATATCAATACATGTCCTGTAGATAGAAAGGTTTTCCACAAGATTGGCGTAAAGAAAACATATGAAGGAATCATTATTGAGGAGGTTTTTATACCTATGTACATGCTGACTTTGGTACATTTACTGAAATGATTTATTCAACCTTTGAAACAGATCAAAGTTGAAGACAAAACCCAAAAAGATGACAACGAAGATGACGAACCAACTTTTTGTGAGGTATTTCAACCAATTTTTAGAAATAATTTTGAAATAAACTTAAAAAAAGAAGAAAGACTGAACCACTCAATTTTGTTTGAGAATTTAATGGTGTTGTTCTAACACTTATTTTTGATTTTGGTTGTGTGTTTTTGGGGTGAGATGGGGGGTGATAATCATCATATTTTACAGAACAGTTAAATTAACATGTGCCACCATTAAAGGATTGCATACTTATTTATGATGTACAGACAACGTGCAATAATAGATCCTGTTACATTTGTTGACAGCGCGGATTATTTACTTATTGATGTGTTTGTTAGGTTTGTGGCAGTAGAGATAATGAAGATACAATGTTACTTTGCGATGGATGTGATAAAGGGTAAAAATTGACCATTGTTTTGGTTAGCTGTTTTGTTTGTTTTTATATTTTCGTGGACATTAGGTTTAATTGACTATTTTATATAGTTATCATCTTGTATGTCTAACGCCGCCTCTACGCAACATTCCAATCGGAGATTGGTTTTGTCCTAGTTGTTCTGTGCACAGCACAAACATTCACTTATTAAATAATGAAGAAGGACAAAACACACAAGAAAATACACAACTCTCGACATGATGATATCGTGGATTATTCTCAGTTTCATATAATTTCTTCTGATGATGAAATGAATGAAATAATGGAGAGAACAGAGTTACTTAATGGTGGGTTAACATACAGTTGTAGTTTGTTCTCAAAAAGAACTGAATAATTGCTATTGTCTCGTCATTATTTTGTAAAATTTACAAACGTACTGTTGAGCATGATGATGTACCAGTGTGCAAATCTGCCTATATTTCAATAATTGTGAATCGTCACTTTCCCCCAGTCTCTCACCATGGTACGTATAAGTGATGTACACAGTAAAATATCTTGCACTTCCCCCAGTCTCTCACCATGGTACGTATAAGTGATGTACACAGTAAAATATCTTACACTTTCCCCCAGTCTCTCATATGATACACCTGAGCGATGTACACAGTAAAATATTATAAACTTTCCCCCAGTCTCTCACATGATACAACTGAGCGATGTACACAGTAAAATATTATACTCTTTCCCCCAGTCTCTCACCATGATACACCTGAGCGATGTACACAGTAAAATATCTTACACTTTGCCCCAGTCTCTCACCATGGTACATGTGAGTTGTGAGTTGACCTACCATTTTTACACCTTGCAACTTCGCTTGTTTAAAAGTTTACTAAATTAAACGAAATATATTTTCAAATGTTTGATTTCATGTCGTTTAAAAAACGTAAATTCTTTCTAGCGTAGCTACTTTTTGTTATAATTTTGACTATTTTGAGAGTTACCACCAAGCTGAACCTAAAAATTGAGATACTTCGCGTTAGGAATGACTACAACGCAGACCGTTCGCCGTGCAAGAACTGTGGCGACATCGCGACCTCGGAGGAGGAGAAGGAGAAGAAGGAGAAGACGTGTTCTACGACGTCAAGGCAGAAAAAAACTAAAATCAAAGAATACAGGTGATTTATAAAGCTTTTCTTACTTTAGAAATCTCATCTCTACAATCTGTCAGTGTATTTCAAAGGATGTATTTAGTTGGTTTTAAGGAATTTTTGTTACACGAGAAAATTTTCTTGCCTGTATGTTTGTAGGGTTTACTTGTCGAAATCTGCCTGTTCACCATTGGTGTTTGGTACAACCTTTATATGTCGTTAACATGGCTAACGTAAAATTTTAAATGTCATTTTTGCATTTGTTCCATACACATTCCACATAAATAAAATATGCAAAAACTAAATGGTTTGAACCCGGGAGTATCGTTACATGTTTGTAAATGTAGATCGTCCAGGTTGGTATAGTCCTGAGAAGGACTGTTTTTGTTGTTGTTGACTGACGTTTCGACAACCTTAGCGGTAGTCATTTTCAATGTCAAATGACTATATTTTATATTTATACAGTCCTTCTCAGGACTATACCAACCTGGACGATCGACATTTACAAACATGTAAAATATGCAAAGGCGTTAAGTAGTGCTGTTGGTCAGCGGTAAGCAACTGCTTCAAATTATGTCATTTACAGCAATATCGCGCATTATTATGAACATTGATAGTTAAGAACTAGAAAACAATTTCTATGATTCCATGAACAAGTAAATATATTTTCTATATCCTATATAAAAACGCCCTTTGAAAATAATATTATAAAAATAAATTTATTGATTTTAGTGACATATTGTTCATATTTTTGCCTTTAAAATTTCCCGATCAAACAACGCAACCAGCGAAACTTAAGCAAGACTGAAATTCCCTCCTTTCTATTTGTTTAAAAACATGGCGTTTTCGAGCATTCAAATTAACCAATGTTATTAAAAGGGTATTTCATAACTGTTGCTACACTAACAACTATAAAATGTTACAGTAACTAAAAGGGCATTTTATATTTGTTATGAACGTAATGTTTTTGATAGTAGTGTAGAATAATGACGTAATGTCTCAGATGAAAACATTACGTCATCTTTATGATAACAAAAATGAGCACAATTATCAATTTTTATAACTTACAGATGGAGGACGTAATTCAAAAAAGAAAAAAACGCTCTCGCCCGTCAAAAATATCGCAGCTAAATCACGATTTTTGATGCCTCATGAAATGCTACCGACGCAATCGTTTACCTTATTTGGTAGAGACAATGATTGCTTACCTGGGATCGAACCTTGTGTGACGTCATCAGTTTCCAAGCCTTCCTCGACCGAAAAGTAAGTTAGCATGTTCGATTTTAATGCTTGTAGCAATGAAGTATAATGAAATGAGTTTGAATGCATTGAACATATTATCAACTGAATTTGTTTTGAAGTGAATGGTTTGAACCCGGGAGTATCGTTACATGTTTGTAAATGTAGATCGTCCAAGTTGATATAGTCCTGAGAAAGACTGTTTTTGTTGTTGTTGACTGACGTTTCGACAACCTTAGTGGTAGTCATCTTCAGAGTCAAAATGAAGATGACTACCGCTTTTGACTCTGAAGATGACTACCGCTAAGGTTGTCGAAACGTCAGTCAACAACAACAAAAACAGTCTTTCTCAGGCCTATACCAACCTGGACGATCTACATTTACAAACATGAATTTGTTTCATAATCTTGTTTGCTTGTTGTCAAGCTTCCCAAATTGCCTAATCTGACTTTCGCGTAAGATTTCTTTAGTATTGCGACAAGTTCTTCACTATTTTGTTGGAACTTTGTTTTCTTTGCACAAGCATTTAGCAAGCGGTATTAGCTACGTAGGTTTCGTGTACTGGTTGCATATGACGACTTCACACTCTGCGTATTGGAAAAAAATAAAACAATGAATTATTTTAAATTAATAAATGAATTTTATAACGATTGTTTTGTATGGTCATTTGTAAATTGTATTGACCTTCGTAAACACGATGAAAATCAACGCTAACACTCTCGATGAAGTTTTCGTTGACCGTCGCCTTTATCAACGATAAACGAATCTGGTTTGCCTCAATTTAGGTTCCAGACCTCCTCCACGTCAGATGTCTGGGATCCATATTTTCCAGTCTCGACAAACTTGCCGATCCATCGCTGACGGTGGATCGTGAGGGACAATTGATTTGTAACGAAAGGTCTTATGATGCTAAACGACATCTAAACTCGTGCGATAATATAAAGAAAGTTGTTTCATCTGGTAATAATTATTTATAAATTTTTCTTATATCTTCTTTGTTTTTTCGCGTTAGTTCATCGTAAAACAAAGTATTCCATTTATCTGCCAATCCAAGAAACCATTTTCCTATCTTTGTCTCTATTTTGCTTTCTCTCTTCATTTCTATTCAAGTTCGTATTCAATTATTGATGTAATGTTTTCTTCTGACCTTTCTATATTTAATCCAACATGTCTTTCCTCAATTGTTTACTTAAATCCACCGAACGCTAGTTTGTTCTAGCATTTTATCTCACGCTTCGCGGGGTGAGAGGAGGCGAGCGTGGAGGAAAAAAGTCAATTGTTTGTCTTGTTCGCAATCAATAGAACTGTAAAAGCGACCTGTAATAAAAATTTCATTCACTAAACACTTTCTAAATGTCTCATTTTAATGTTGATGTAAGAAAGAAAGTTGTGGGTCGGTAGTCAGCGATGCAGATGTTAAAATTACGAATTTCGTCAAGTTCTTAAATCAGTCGAATTTCAGTATGAATGTACATATGTGCGCAGTTACATTCAATGTATAATACGTGTGCCAGCATGAAGCTTTTTCTAACAATTTTTATCGTTTGCATTTTATTTTTAGATAATCACCGCTATCCGAAGGATGTAAAAAAAGAAAGCTCGCATTTCATCAAGTCTAATTGCAAGAAATCAGTTGAACCAAACAAAACAATGGTTTCCTCTTCATACTTTGACAAGCCGTCACAATGTAAACCCATAAAGTTGGGAAACAACGTTGCCTCGACTCCCTGTGAAGAACTAAGATCTTGTAGCGTTTCAAAGTCTAATGTGGACATGTCGGCGAAAAATTTAGGTAAATTATAAATATGGACATTTCGTCGAATAATTTAGGTAAATTAGTTACCACTGAAATTGATTTATGCTAGAATTATGTAATAAGTTTGAGCAATGTGGCTAATTTTTAAAAATCGATAACATTACATTCAGCAAAGAGACTTGCTAAAGAAAATTATAAATGTAAATTGGACATTAGTATATGTTCAATGGTTACATCGGGTTTTGATATAGTCCATATTAAAGTAAATGGTTTGAACCCGGGAATATCGTTACATGTTTGTAAATGTAGATCGTCCAGATTGGTATAGTCCTGAGAAGGACTGTTTTTGTTGTTGACTGACGTTTCGACAACCTTAGCGGAAGTCATCTTCAGAGTCAAAAACGGTAGTCATCTTCATTTTGACTCTGAAGATGACTACCGCTAAGGCTGTCGAAACGTCAGTCAACAACAACAAAAACAGTCCTTCTCAGGACTATACCAACCTGGACGAACTATATTTACAAACATATAGTCCATATTAGGAAAAATCAACATAAACATCGTTTTCATTGCTACAGTTTATATTTTACCATAACATATTTAGGTTCATTTCTTGTCTTATGTGTTTTAAAGAACATTATTGATGGTTTTGAGGAAGTTTCCTTCGCACCAACCTTATTAATTTTTTTATTTTACAATTGATCAACCATGTACTAAATATTATTTTTCATCTTAAAAAAGGTTCAAGTACGTCTTCACAAGAAGAAATGAAATTGAAATCGGTGAGACTGCGCTTTGTCGTTTTGTTTCTGTTAAAGTAAAAGTTGTGTCAAATAACATAAGTGTATGTAAAGTATCGAGAGTAAAATTTGGGGGTCGAAAAAGTCAATTTTAAAAAGTTCAAAATGAAAGCTATATCATATCACTAATCATTGGATTTTGATTATATTTTTGAGTTCCAAACTTCCACTCTTGACTTTACTCTCAAAACTTGGCACAATAGTTTGCAACTTAAGTTTGTGGAAAGTTGAGAAACGTCTGTTTGTAACACAAAAAGTGTTTAGTTGATAGATTATAGTTTGTAAAACAGGAAGTTTGAGCATTTTTAATGGTTAAGACGGTATGGTTGGCAACATGGCTGCATAAACAACGCTTTTTAATAACTGCAGGAAGTTAGTGCAGGTATTGGGAGAATTGTTGGTTCGTGCGTAAGAGTGAACATGCTGCGATATTAAGCCAGTAGATTGTTGATTAAAACGGTCTGAATTATAAGAATATCTATTTAGATTAGAAATGACGAGAAACAGTGATTTTTGTTAAAGGGAATCGAAAGACTTCTTCGTAAAGAAAGAGCAAGTCGCGAAATAAAACATGTTTTGAAACCATATTTCAAGCGTGGGGAAGTTTCAAAAGAACAATATAAATATATTTATCAACATGCTTTTGAAAAGGTCAGTCTTTGACATGAGCCATTTTTATAAAATAAGTTGTGAATATTCTGCTTAAAGTTGTTCGGATACTATTTGAATGATTCAGTCTTAGCTCTTGATGCCTAAATTTAGCTTACTACATTTGCGTTCAAGCGTTGAGTGCGAGAAATTTTCACGATGTTTCCACATCTGAAACGTGACATTTCCTTTACGTTTACTGCATGTTTTAGGCGTGGAATTTGCCCCTTTTAAGAAAATATGTCAACGTTTGATAAGCCCAATAAACAAGTTTTCCTTGAAGAAACAACATCTTTTCATGTTTGTGTAACGCGTTTATTTTTTACTTTTACATTTTTTACATTTTTTTCATGAGTGCGTAAAAGCACTATTGATATTGCTTTTAATAAAAACGACAAGTTTTTGAAATAAACATGTTTCAACACCTCGCGATGCCATCTTCAGTGTTACGATACCATCTTATCGTGATGCCATCTTCATTATACTGAAGATGGCATCATGAGATGTTGAAACATGTTTATTTTAAAAAAACTTGTCGTTTTATAAATGCGCTTTGTCCATGAGCTTGATGAGTTATGGCAGCTATATGCAGATTGATCGCGAAGGTCGTTCATTTAAGTCTGCTGTCGCGCTGTCTTGCGACATAAAATCAAAAATAATTGTCGAAATGTTTCTTCGCGAAGCCGACAGAATGTCAGAATCACGCAGTTCGTTCCTGTAGGCACGTACGCTGCAGACTCTCGCGCTGTTAAAGTGTGTTCAACCTGGTTCGACCACAGTGAAGAAAGCGAGAACGCAGCAGAAAAGAGAAAGATTTTCCTATCTTTTCTGTTGACGTTACTGACGAACTTCTGCGTTGCTTCCCACATGGTGGATTTGTTCAAAATTTTAAAAATCTCATAAGAATTCTGTACTGCTGTTAAACATCGCATATCGTCTTGTCGATCAGATTCGTTCCTTCTGGTTACAAAGGTATTTTCATCGTCTCTGTATTGCAGTCGCGCGTTTTAAGTGTCAACTCCATCCATAACTTCACAACTGTCTCACCGATCATTTGTATAAATTTAAACAAGTCGAACTATTTTTTGTATCGATTGAACCTTTTCTCCATGATGAATTTTATCTGCGGATGGACATTGTCTCCGAAAAGTGTAAAAGTAGAAAATAAACGCGTTACACAAACATGCAAAGATGTTGTTTTTCAAGGAAAACTTGTTTAATGGGCTTGTCAAACGTTGACATATTTTCTTAAAAGGTGCGAATTTCGCGCCTAAAACATGCAGCTAACGACAAGGAAATGTCACGTTTCAGACGTGGAAGCATCGCGAAAAATTTCTCGCACTCAACGATTGAACGCAAATGTAGTAACTAAATGTCACTTTATTCGTGAGTGAAGTGACGATTCGCTTTTTTCTTTTTCAGATAACCCAATCACGTCATCCTGTCGTGTCACGTGACGTCGCCCGTTTAATAAGTACATACGTAAAGAAGCTTTACAAATGAACCAGTCACGTTATCCTGTTTTATCACGTGATGTTGGCCGTTTAATAAGGACATACGTAAAGAAGCTTTACAAATGAACCAGTCACGTTATCCTGTTTTATCACGTGATGTTGGCCGTTTAATAAGGACATACGTAAAGAAGCTTTACAAATGAACCAGTCACGTTGTCCTGTTTTATCACGTGATGTTGGCCGTTTTAATGCAGACATGCACGGAGATTCTCAAACCAGTGTTGTGTGACGTCATGTTGGACATTTAATGGCGTACATAAACATTTATCACGTTAACTTGTTTGTAAAGTAATGAAATTTTATAAAAGATGTTTACTGTATTTGTACCAAGCTTATGAAAATCGAAGAAACGCTTGAGAGAACTCAAGAGCAGAACATGGTATGATAGTAATGCGTAATAAACATTGCTAGTACTTACTACTAAATACTGCAGGCTCACATACTTCTTCTGTACATAGTTCTTTTGTAGTTTATTGACAATTGCCATAAGATATCATGGGCGGACAAACGCAGTCAGGCATTATTCCCGGGAAAATTGTGTAAATTAGGTCATTTAAGATTGAAAGTGTACCGAACGCCCCCACCCTAAAAATGTTGGCCCGTACGCTCATGGCAATTGTTTGTGTTGTATTGTTAGTCAAACTCTAGAAGATGTGACTGAAATACAGTCACCGTAAGTTTTGTGTTGTTAGACCATCTCTAGAATATGTGAGCAAAGTTAACAAAGATTTATCGAGTCTTCATCTTAAAAGATTAGTCGTCGTGTCACTGTTACCATACAAACGCTTCTAACGAAATATTCTCATTATCAAAACAATAGTTCCATACTTCAAGAAACAATGTGCTGTCCAGAGCAATTGAGAGATATAATACAAGATTCTCAGTTTGGATTGCAATGAAAGTTCTTTTTCTTTTGAAGATATTTTTGGGGATTCTTTAAGATAACAAAGATTTGGTTTATAGTTAAAAAACCGCCCTTATGTGACTATGGTGAAGAAGTGTTTCTCTTTAAAAATGTTTTATAATTATGCTAGCGGTTCTTGGTTTCCTTCTCTACTTCAATCCAAAGTCATTTTATAATTTACTTGAGTCATAATTCATTTTATTATCGAGGTTGGTAACATATCGTATATTGACATCCAACATTCTACTAAATTTTTATTTAGAATTCAGTAGCAATATCGCCCAAATCCTATGTTAGACTAAATTTAGCTTTGTATTCTATCAGTCAATGCCGTAATCCATTTAAATTTTCGTATAATAACGATTTTATCAAAAACTTTGCCTTTGAATTCATTCAGAGTATTGTTCCCAAATAGCAAGAAGCAAGTATCATAAGCACAATATCTTCTTTGTTAACATTTTGCAACACGTCGATATTAATTATTTTGATAAGTTATTGTGGAAAAATACAAAAGCATGTGAATGATATGACAGCCATTTTTGGTGAAGTATTTTAACAGTAATGAAGTATTAAAAACGTGTTTATTTTTTCATATATTGTACCAGTTATTTGTGAAGATATATTGATGCATGTCATTGACAAGTATATTGTTTATTATAAAGCCTAATTGGATATTATGTAATATGCTTCGCTTCAATGACTAAAGTTATTATTTTGGTGGTTTGATAAAGTGATTTTTGATAAAATTTTCAATCTTACTAACTACTTTATGAGACTAAATACTCCCTGTTTATCGGTTTGTATATTTTAAATCACACCCCGGCTGGTCCATTTTCCAGTTTTAAAGCGACAAATTATCCACGAAACACCAATAATTATCATACAATGATGGTGAAATCTCTTTTTCGATTGGTTAAGAGCCTACATATATTTCTCATTCTTTTGCCACCTACAGCGATATTAAACCCCGTAGGTGACGGAATTTTTAATGTGACAAATGAAAACACAATGAATATTATCGCAAAAATTTGCTTGAGACTGGTTTGCAATCGCTTCCCAAACTGAATCGGAAATAAGAACGCAAAAAGCACTAAAGAGGCCATGGTATTTACCGAAAAAAGACTAAAAACAACCGAAAACAAAGAAGGCAACTTATAACTGTATAATAAAACAATTCTTGAATTCGGCCTTCGCAAGTTCGCATGACGTAAAGAATGAAGAATTATTCAGACCTCTGTCTTCGTTATCTGCCACAGCTTTGTTTCAGCCAGAAAACATTGACCTCAGTCTGAAAAATCCTTTACATCATGCTCAACCTCATTCAATAATTGTGAATTCTTGTACGCTGTATAACTATATAAACTATCATTGAGAATTTTCCAGTAAATGCGTACGATTCAACTCAATTTAACTGAAATGTTTCTCTCAAAATCCTTGCCAGTAATCCTTACAATTTCTCGCACAGTCATCAAAATTTATTTGCTTTATCTCACATCGACAAAAACTGAAATGTGTACAACAAATATCTCATGAGATACTGTATGTTGTGAATATTGATTTTTATCGAATGAAAATGATATTCAAGACATTGACAAATGTAACATTAAATTAAATACCGTACTATGTCACATCATTCGGAATTTTTCAATTGTGTAGCCTGTGAAACAACAATAATCCAACAGGTAATTTTTACGTTAAAATGATGTGATAAAAAAATTACGGTTGCTACGCTTTATGTAATGGTCGATATTACTATTGCATTTACTTGCTTCAAATGAGACATTCATTTTCAAAAAAAAAGTTTACTTATAACTCTTAAGTATTTTTTCCTGATTGCTAATTGTACTTGTCGAATTTGGATTGCCTTTAGTGCTGTTAGGACTCTAAAAATGCTCCTCCCATAATTGCACAATTATTGTTAACTCAAAATATATTGATAGCCCAACTTGACATGCAACCAATCAGCGCCTCTTTCCTTATCACGTGATCTTAATCTCGACACTAGACTTGCACCTGGGGTATTCAATAGTTGAATGTTATGAGAACGAACGAGGGAATTATAATGGCAATATTTTTCATGTAACACGCTCCTACAACTTTCAGATGAAACAAGACGAAGGCGAAGAGTAGAATGAGGCTTTATCCGTTGATTATTTTCTTTATATTTGGATTAAATAATATTTTCGGTAAGAAATTATTGTTTATATTAACGTAGCGTTGTATCGACTTATCTTGCCATGGTTTGAAAGAAAAATTGTCTCATTGAATATCGTTTTATTTTACGGTGGGTTAAAACGTTCTACAATAAAGAACGGTATTTAAGTGTTTTTTGTTAAATTCGTGAGCTATTAGTGTCGATATGAAATCAGAATATTCGTATATTATTCCGTTAAATGACTCATGTTGTGTATTTCATTTGAGTTTTTATGCGTTTTACCTCTTCGTTCACTGATCAATAGTCGATATTTCGATACTTGTGTCGTGATATTGTCAGTAAACATTACATGTATGTAGTTGTATGTTTCTAATGCCGCTTTACAAGATTTTCTGATGATCTTTACAGCCCGAAGTGTATTGTAAATGATATATTTGTTTGTGCTGTAGTGTGAATCAACGCGCAAGAATAAGTATGTCATGCTTTGTGCTTCGATGTAGCTAATGTCTGCTATAAATCACATATTATGGCAGTTCTATTTTCTTTAAATGTTGCAAACGTTGATACTTTGACATGACCTCGTACTAATATACTTTGTGGCATTAGGATTTGCCTCTCAATGATTCGAACTCCAGCCTTGTCACAAAGCACAACTAGAACAAACGAAGATATAGTCATTGTTGTACATGCATACATCTGCTTTGCTTTGCGTGATTTCTTAAAGCATAAAACATGGACCGTTTAGTTTTGTTTATTGTTAAGCGGGCGAATGTTTGAATCAGGAAAGAATTCTCCGCGAAAATTGATCTATATAGAATGGAAAAACGTTTGTAGTGCCTGTCATGAATAGACTTTTATGAAGCTAGGCATTGTAGCCAATTCATTGTTTATTTACATATCATTTGAGTTGATTACTATGTAGTTTTTAAAAGTGCGACTAGTTTTTTTCCGCTAAAGCGAGCTTTGTTCATCAATTTGTAACAGAAAGGTTTATCGATTTGAAGAATCGTTTCTATACGCGTTCGATCATAATGAACAGTATTGTTGTTTGAGCATTGGTAATCGAGCGTGTTATATTTCTCGCTTTTTAAATATTTCTAACATTTAAATACAATAATAATCTTTTTCACATGTTTTCCTTTTTAGTGGATCCTCTAAGGCTTTTATATTCAGAGCGAAGTACCATACGCATGCTTAATTTTTCTGGAGATGGACGCCGTGAAGAAAATTTTACAACATCATTGCTTGCAAAAGATCTCGACGATGTAATTGCGCTTGCATTTGACTTTAGAGAGGAAATGTTATTTTGGACCGATGTAATTCACGAAAAAATATTGCGAAAGTCCTTAAATGACAACAAAGTGGAGGTTGTCGTTTCTGCAGGCTTGGTCAGACCTGAAGGAATAGCAATTGATTGGGTTACGAAGAAAATTTACTGGACAGATTCACAATTAAAATTGATCGAAGTTGCCAATTTAGATGGATCACAGCGTTCCGTGTTGTTTTGGAAGAATTTAGGCAAGCCTCGAAGTATTATTGTTGATCCGAGACATGGGTATGTTTAAATCTTTATTATTTTTCCGGATTTCACTAATTTGTGTGGGTATTTTTCATTCCGTTCTGTCGTAATCTGCAGAAAATAAATCATCGAAATTGGATATTGATTTTGCAACAAAACATGGTTTACTGGTGTGTTAACCTTCATTTAAAATGATTCAAATGTCATGTATTCGATGATTTGATGCACTGCGTTTCCTTCTAATTGGATTCAAGCAGTCATTAAAAATCCATTATAATATTGCTATGCTGGATAAAATATGTTTAATGCTCGTTTGTTGTTTCAATAAAATATTTGATTTTGTTTCAACTATGAAATGTACTATACATATATAAGGCAGTTGATTATCCTTAGGCAAACAATTTGCTTTGAAATGTCGTTAAAAGAGCAAATAACAAACACATCTAGTGACATAGATATTATATTTACTTATTTGCTCTAATATCTTTAGACATTTTTTCTGTGCGATAACGTGTTGATTTCGCCAGTGTGCCGTTTAATCCATTGTATTGTTTAATGATATGTATAAAAATGTGTAGCATTGAGTTACCATAAGATGAAATGCTTTAAAACGGTAATTTTATCATACATGTTGAATTTAATGAAAAATGTTTGTCAATTGACGTTCGTCGTCATGGAAAACGGCTGACTTTGATAAAATACGTTTTATTTTATTTAAATTTAGCATATTTTTTTGTTTATCGTAATTGTACTTTCGTCTCTACTTGTGTATTCATTTGGATTATTCCCCATATGGAGAAGTTTTATTTTGCCAATTTTAAAAATAAACTATTTTTATTCAATGTTATCAGTTTGAAATCTTTAACTAGAACTTTAATTTAGCTTTAACTTTTTCACCTTATTTGAACAGCAGATTAACAGCCGGATTTTCAATCCAATGCTGTTTATATTTTATTTTAAATTTCTTCGTTTTTAATCTTGGTGTTGATGTCAAATATCCGAACAATTATATGTGTTTGGAAAAGCAACTTTGATAATATTGAAAATTGTCATTTGTGTTTAAGTAGTTTTGACATGATTACAAACCGAGATTATGCAGTATGACCATGAACCGCTGCCTCCAATATGACCTTATGGTTTCACCTGATTTAACCAAAATTTCAACTGTCGCCTCCAATTACCATTATGTGTTGATTGCGGTTTTGGTATTGGAGAAATTTCCTTACTAGACTGTTAATATCAAGAGAATAGTATTGTTATATGTGTTACGAAGATTATTTTTTTGTTGTTTTGATTTTATGTTTCATGACCAGTTTTGCAGGTTTCTATAAGCAAAGCTCAAAGATGAGTTTGATTGCCTGTGTATGTTGCATTATGTGTTGGTGGTATTATTGTCTGTATCTTGTCTGTTATGAGCATTTTTTGTAAAAAAACTTCATTCATCTTCACGTACATCGTAAATACGTATTTCTGCATTAGTGACTAGTAGTTGCTATCAGTATCTCAGGGATAATCGCAAACACTTGTCAAAATATTTTTCTCCCTTGAAATGGTGGAAACGCGAAATGCGTTGTCACAGTACGGAGTCGCTTCTTTGTAATGCGTAATTATTTTAATTTTATGACAGTTTAGTTCATTTAGAAACGCTCATTTTAAACGTTTTTTTTTCGTTGTTTATATGAGTCAAAAGATGATGTTCTCCGCAATTCTTTCAATATAATTATGAATCCTCGTATGGCCATAGAGAGAATTTTAATATCAAAATGGCACTCGACACAGGGAAAGATATTGCGTTGCGAAAGAATAGAAAATGACAATTCGATTCTGCTATTCACTACTTAAATGCTTTTTGTTGCGTTTTTAACGTAGTTTGTGCTGAATAACACTTGAATTATTTTAACTTTTGCTTGATTAACAATATTTGAACAAAGGGATCTTATGCTGATCCTATGACTCTCATGTTTCTCTTGGTATCAAATATGTTTTTGTAAACAGTTAAGTAGTTGGTTTCATCGTTGCCTTTGGCTGTGTTTCAGGAATAAAGATGCAAACAATTGTTTTGAAATTATCTATGTACTGCGTAGTTTAAGTCTGAAGAAACCGTTCTGTAGCTTTTGTTATCTTTCCAACGACAGGCAGAAAATTTAAACTACGTAATTGTTTAACGACGAAATTCTCATTACTTTGTCAAACGAAGGTTTTTATGCATCAATTTCCTTTGTCGAATTCACCTTTTGAAATTAATGCATTCTGCGGTTTGATAAAATCTACAGACTAACACCTTACTTACGAAAACAAACATATTTTATCCAAACAGGTTCGAGGCTACTGACTTTTTGCCTGTTTATAAGTATGACGCATTACCTTGTATTGCAAAACTTTCTTGCAAGTCAATTGTTTTCGTTGAAATGCTTTCTGTCATCTTAATGCAAATACTTGTTCTATGTTTTAAAATATGTCATTAACTCTTCATTGCATCGTTCAAGGTATATATTTTGGTCGGATTGGGGAGAGAACCCCACAATTGTGCGCTCCGCTATGGATGGTGTTGATAGAATGAACGTAATCACTGCAAACATTAAATGGCCCAATGGGCTTGCTGTTGATTATAAAGAACCAAGATTATTTTGGCTTGATGCTCATAAAGACAAAAGCTCACTTGAAAGTTGTGATCTTGACGGTAAAAATCGTAAAATATTAATTGACAAGTCTTTACCTCATCCGTATTCTGTGACAATTTACGGCGATCGAGTTTATTGGACGGACTGGGAGAGAATGTCGATTGAGACATGTAACAAAAAGACTGGGCACGACAAATGGATAGTGAAGGATAATATTAAGAATTTGATGGATCTTCAAGCATTTGAACCTGATAGGCAGCCAGTTGGTATGTCTGTTTGGCGTTTTTTTGAACTTTTTTAGGGGGAGAGATGGGAGGGTTGCTTGTTTGGGTATCTTTAGTGTTGGGTCTCTTATTGTTGGTACATTTAGTGTTGGTGTCTTTAGTGCTGGTGTCTTTAGTGTTGGTGTCTTTAGTGTTGGTGTCTTTAGTGTTGGTGTCTTTAGTGTTGGTGTCTTTAGTGTTGGTGTCTTTCGTGTTGGTGTCTTTAGTGTTGGTACCTTTAGTGTTGGTATCTTTAGTGTTGGTGTCTTTAGTGTTGGTGTCTTTAGTGTTGGTATCTTTAGTGTTGGTGTCTTTAGTGTTGGTGTCTTTAGTGTTGGTGTCTTTAGTGTTGGTGTCTTTAGTGTTGGTATCTTTAGTGTTGGTGTCTTTAGTGTTGGTATCTTTAGTGTTGGTATCTTTAGTGTTGGTGTCTTTAGTGTTGGTGTCTTTAGTGTTGGTGTCTTTAGTGTTGGTGTCTTTAGTGTTGGTGTCTTTAGTGTTGGTATCTTTAGTGTTGGTGTCTTTAGTGTTGGTGTCTTTAGTGTTGGTGTCTTTAGTGTTGATATATACGTATGTTTCCTAAACATAATATGCTACTTTGCTAAGACCTACTCAAATTACACGTAACTATAGTATGGGATCAACGCAATCTCTTGTGAAATTGGGAAGCAAATTAGGACCTAGATGAAAAAATGTATTTTGAGAAACGGTGTTTTGAACTGCTAGAAAAACAGTGTATATAACTTACGTTGGTCATGGTGAGCATCAAATGCCATTAATTTGTTGTAATAATGAACCTGTTTATTGAAATGTGATGGATTGGTGACAGGATTTCAATGATATCAAAGAAACTACGTAATCTTAGATTTGTGTGTTAATGAACACTTTTGTTGGTGGCTGTTTTGTTTAGAGGTTTGTATGTATCACACGTCATGACTACTTTAACTAAGTACAGTTATTGTTATTTGTAGTTCACAATCCTTGTGAGATTAACAATGGTGGCTGTAGTCACCTGTGCTTATTATCCACTGGAGGAAACTATTCATGTGCCTGTCCAACTGGAATTGTTTTGTTAAATGATAATCGGACCTGTGAAGATGGTAAATCAGAATTATTGTATATTATGTTAACCGTTGTACAAAATCAAGGATTTAGTACGGAGAACTAAGCTCTAATTGAATTTTGGGATCTGTTTATTCGAGACCTTTTTGTCGTGTTTATTTTTCCGTTTAAACACGGAAGTGATTTTGTTTTAACGAAGGAATGTGCGAAAAATATTGTGGCACGATAATTATCTACGAGTGAGCAAACGATTTTTCTGTCATGAGTTATTAAGAAAAAGAACAAGAAACTTCTATTTCTTTAGTTTGCACGCTTGTTTTACTGTAAGACCTTCCCATTCGTGACATGCGCTTTGTTAGTACGTTGTAGGTACATTGTAGGTACATTGTAGGTCATTCCAAGTACAGTACCGCTCGCGTATTTGTAAACATTTGGTACGCGTATGAAACGCGTATGATACGAAAAACAAACGCGAATGATACGAGAACGATACGCGTAAGATACGAGAATGATACATGTATGATACGAAAAGGATACGCGTATGATACACGTATAGCCTGTTTTCCACTAGCCACGTATCGTAACGTATCTTAGCAAAACGTAACATGGCGCATGCGTGCTTATGAATTTGATGGTCAATATGCACAAGCGCGCATGCGCCATGGTACGTTTCGCTACGATACGTTGCGATACGTGGCTAGTGGAGAACAGGCTTATGATACGAGAACGATACGCGTATGATACGAGAATGATACATATATGATACGAGAATGATACGCGTATGATACGAGAATGATACATATATGATACGAGAATGATACATATATGATACGAGAACGATACGCGTATGATACGAGAATGATACATATATGATACGAGAATGATACATATATGATACGAGAACGATACGCGTATGATACGAGAATGATACATATATGATACGAGAATGATACGCGTATGATACGAGAACGATACGCGTATGATACGAGAATGATACATATATGATACGAGAATGATACATATATGATACGAGAACGATACGCGTATGATACGAGAATGATACATATATGATACGAGAATGATACGCGTATGATACGAGAACGATACGCGTATGATACGAGAACGATACGCGTATGATACGAGAATGATACGCGTATGATACGAGAATGATACATGTATGATACGAGAACGATACGCGTATGATACGAGAATGATACATATATCATACGAGAACGATACGCGTATGATACGAGAACGATACGCGTATGATACGAGAATGATACGCGTATGATACGAGAATGATACGGGTATGATACGAGAACGATACGCGTATCATACGCAAAATTATGTTAACAAATACGCGAGCGGTACTGTAGCTTGAAGGTACATAACACATTTTAAAAGAGATACGTACTTGCACAGGGCATCTTTATTGTGCACATTTACTAGAATGTATTTTAAGCATTTAATTCAGTATGCTATACATAACATTTTTTATTTTCTTTTTAGGTCCACAAAACTTCATCATCGTTGCTACACGCACTAAGCTTCGGTTGATTTCATTGGATACATTGGATCACACTTGGATAGTTCTTCCTATACAAAATATGCAACATGTGGTTGTAATCGAGTTTGATCCTGTTGAAAAATTTGTTTACTGGACCGATGAAGATCTCAAATGGATTAAAAGAGCGAAATTAGATGCATCGGGTAAATGTACAATGTTTGATAACAAGAAGATGAGAAAACGTTATAAATTATAGTCATCATTTCTATGTTTCATGTTCAACTTTAGAGGAACAAATCGTTGTTAAAGCTGAAGTTGAGCATCCTGACGGGATTGCTGTGGATTGGATTGCTCGTAATCTTTATTGGAGTGACACCGGTACGGACAGAATAGAAGTGAGTCATTTAAATGGTTCATCAAGGAGGGTTTTGGTTTCTGAAAATCTGGACGAACCACGAGCGATTGTACTTGATCCTGGTGAAGGGTGAGTGTGTATAAATGTGTTTGTGTTTTGTTTTACTTACGGTACCATTGCTCAGCAGGAAAACGAATTTATCATTAAATACCTATTATCCAAAATACGCATGAAAAATTTCTACAATTCTTAGTTACATGTATTGGACGGACTGGGGACTAAAACCAAAAATAGAGCGCGCCTGGTTGGACGGGACTCATCGGTCGACTCTTGTCAATACTTCCATAAAATGGCCTAATGGACTGGCTCTTGATTATGTCGAGAGAAAAGTTTACTGGGCTGATGCCAGACTTGATAAGATCGAAGTGTGTAATCTGAACGGAAGTGGTCGTAGAATTCTCATCGATAGAGATGTTCCGCATATTTATGGTTTTGGTTTAATTGGAAAGCATATTTACTGGACTGATTGGCAAAGACGTAACCTTCAAAAGATTCACATCGATTACCCACAAAGAAAAGATATTGTAGTTGAAGTATTGCCTGCTGTAATGGGTCTTAAGGTCGTTGATATGAAATTTAACTACGGTAAGGTCGTAACTTTACTTAAAATTTTGTTGTTCTTTGCTATTGTCATTTTTCATTTCAAATTATTGCTATGCATCATTAAATATGACAATTTGAAATCTTTGTCTTGCACAGTTTCAAAATTTGCGTTTACTTTAAATTATAATATGACTTGAAATTTTATGTAGCTTTTTTACCATGTACAATAGAAATATTTTGTAAGTTAATTATTTGAAGAACGAATGACGATATATACATGTCTTATTTACACTAGGCTCAAACCAGTGTCAGAAAAACAATGGTGGTTGCTCTCACCTTTGTTTCTATACTCCAGTTGGCGTGCAGTGCGAGTGTCCAATGGGACTGGAACTGACAAAAGATAACAAAACCTGTTTTGGTTAGTATTGCGAATAAATAGATTTTTATTTATGGATGATGCGTAAACATACATAGTCTCATGCAGTCTTGCTGGAAAGACTTGACAATGCTTGAAAAGTAATGTGTTTAAATTGAAACTGTGGAAAATCATTTGAAGACTGGTTAATTGAACAGAAATATACTAAACCCTGTTTTATTTTTGCTTTGTAAAGTGCTTTACAAAGCAAAAATTAATGTTCGTTTCATTTATAGTTCCTGAAGCATTTCTCCTCTTCTCTCGCACGAAAAGTATTCGTCGCCTTTCAATTGACACCAAAAAGGGCGACAAACCCATCCCGATACGAGGTATTGTCGATGCGAACGCAATCGATTTTCACATCAATTTAAGTCAAGTTTTTTGGAGCGATCTTGAAGAGAAAACGATAAGTCGAGCATTTATTAACGGAAGCAAACCAGAAACTGTTATTGACGTTGGAGTAAACTTTCCTGATGGTTTAGCTGTTGACTGGGTTGCAAATAATATTTACTGGACGGATACATCATCTGAACGTATTGAATGCTCCCGTCTTGACGGAAGACATAGGAAAACGTTGCTTTGGAGAAATTTGACGGAACCGCATTCGCTTGCGTTGGATCCTGGACGAGGGTAAGGACTAAGGACGAGTATGGAAAGCAATGAATGCACGGGATGTAAGACAAATCTTGTTTTTTTTTGGTCTTCAAAAAACAATTCTAAAATTTACCCGTGTTTTTTTCTACTATAACTAAATCATGTTGTTCCATGAAGTCGTGACAAAGATAACTTTCGAATGTCCGCATCTAAGTCATAATCTATTGTTTTATTTATTCTTATATTTCCTAAATGTCGTTCGCATCACGGTAAAATTTCTCTTAATTTTACATTAAGCCCAAAGAATAAACTTTCTCCTAAACTGTATGTATGTTTATGTGCAGTTTTCCCCTTAACTAAGCTCTCACGTAAGCCGTCTTCGCTGAATCTGCGTAATGATTTCTCAAAGAACAGATAAAGATGACTTAATTGCGTATGTAGCAATGGCAATTTTCCAGCCGGCAACATGACATTTTTTCTTTAATATTATTTTCCCTTCAGCCGTTTTCAACAAAGGTGTATTTGTTTGAAGTTTTGATTTAACAAATGAATAAATGAACATCTTTCTTTTTGTACTCAACGAGACCTTTTGATTTACACTAGATACATGTATTGGATCGAATGGCGCGAGTCTGCTGTCATACTGCGGGCTCTTATGGATGGAAGGAACATGACGGTTATCATTCAAAATCACACTGTCGTAATGAGACCTCGTGCTTTGGTCATTGATTACCTGGAAAACATGATTTACTTGACTGACGAGCGTCACGGCAGCATATATCGCGCGAGAAGTGATGGGACTGGGTTAGAGAGTGTCGTTTTGCAGCATCTGCCTCATCCTTACTGTGTTACACAATACAAAGATTTTATTTTCTGGGGGGATCACGACGATAACACAATCTCGCGAGCAAACAAATTAAATGGTGGTAATCGTACGATGATAGAAGCTAACATTGGGTACATAATGGATGTAAAAGTGTTTCATGGTACTCGTCAAGTCGGATGGAATGATTGTGGTATTGGTAATGGAGGATGCAGTCACATTTGTATTCCATTACCAGGCAAGAAGCACACGTGCGCATGCCCGAACCATTTTAGCATTGACGAGGAAAAAAACACAACTTGTATCGGTAAGTTAACGTTCACAAGAAAAAGCATTTTTCATTTGTGTGGCAGCTTCGTCTCTCCTTTGTTATTTGCAGATGATCAAAAGAGTGTTTAATTCGTATTATTAAATTCCCCTAGTTTCATTGAAAAATATATTTAGCCAGCGAAAATGTTGTAAATTATAATCAATTCAATAACCCTACAACAATGTTTTCAGTGACGAAAATAGTAAATTGAAATTGTCGTTTAAAACATTTCATCACGAACAAATGTCTTAATTAAAGTAATTGAAGTAAATGTTTTGAACCCAGGAGTATTGTTACATGTTTGTAAATGTCTGAAGATGACTACAGCTAAGGTTGTCGAAACATCAGTCAACAACAACAAAAACAGTCCTTCTCAGGACTATACCAACCTGGACGATCGACATTTACAAACATGTAATGTCTTAATTATCCGTTCTCGAAATAGAGAATTCATAAAACTAAGAATGTTTGTTCAATTCCAGGTCCCCGATTATTTTGCTCTACGCTGGTGGTAATATGTTACGGAGACAAACGATCGATGAAGTGGATAATTTTGACATATATCTGCCAATAAAAATTCAACAGAAAATTGTGGCTATAGACTATGACGTTATAAGTGATATGGTTTATTGGTTGGAGTACAACGAGCAAAGCCATATTTATAGAAGTTATGCAAACGGTACACATAAAGAGAGAATTCCATCATCTGATGATAGAGAACTTATCGCATCGCCAATTGATATCGCAATAGATCCTTATGGACGACAGTTATATTGGACTGATCATGATTCTAAAAGAATTAAAGTGACCAATCTGATTTCATTTGTTATTGGTACCGTAGTCAGTGAGGATAATGGAAATCCTAGTCATATTGCTTTGGATCCAAAGAGAGGGTGAGTTGCTGTCATTTTTAAAAATATGTGGAATAGTATGCACCATTCATTTTTATCCATTAAACACAACAAAATGTGTGCGTTGATTGGTCTAGAGCTATGTTTGCCTGTGGAAAACGAACTGAACTCAACCAATCGAATCAATCAATCAATCAAAGAGAATTTACAAATCAATCATGGATACACGTTTAAAGAATATTAAGACGTTTTGTCTTTTCGCATTGTTATTATTTTATAAAAGAAATAAAAGATGTTTTTCGTGTTTGCATAAGCCTGTGCAAACACAGTAAACATCTTTTATTTCTTAAATGAAAGGCAAACGTGTTATGCATGACGAGGAAGCATTAGTTGGTCTGAATACATTACGGAAAATAAATTTCCAATTTGAAGTGCTATAGAGCTAATCCTATTTGGAGTACGTATTTTAGCCCTAATATTCCTTTAGTATTTCTGATAAATCGCATCCTTTTTATGAATTTTATGAAAGTATTTTGAATTCAAAGTAATCCTCTATAATTATTTACCCATCCTAAATCTGCCACCGGCGGAAGTACAGGGAAGTTTGAATCAATCACTTCAAAAATACAATTGCAAAATTTGAACTTCTTTAAAATAGGTGCGCATTCGTAAACGTTTGATGACCGAATTTGATATTTTTACAAATAAATACATGGCCGGAAATGAAATGGAAAATTTCTAATTTAAATGGAAAGTTGCTTCAATATTGCGTATTAAATGCCATAAACATCGAATGCCATAACAAATGTTGGGAATAATAGTCTTACTTGCTTGTGAAAGTTATTTTCCTGTGAGATTTTATTTACGACAACCATGCCCAGACAGCATGGATAAAAAATCTTTTGAAAAAACGTGATGAAGCTGAATGATTGGAAATACAAGAAAAAAGATTTTATCAACGCAATAATTGGTTATCTAAAACGTATATCTGAATGTCTTTGTTGATGGTTTAAAACAATTACTATCAGTCACGATGTTTTCATAATCATTTTACTTTAGTTATATGTATTGGACGAATTACACGGATACCGAAACAAGTATTGAAAAGCACGCATGAATGGAATACGTGGCAAAGATAGACAGTTGTATGTACAATCAACAAGAGATGTCGAATTGGGAGTTTTGGTCGCTGATCCAGAAGGCTCATTCCTCTATTTTGTTGAAAAGAAAAAACAAAAGATAATGCGGCTGTCTTTAAACGGTTAGTTGTCATTTTCGGTTTCTTTTAACGAAAGCACTGAAGAATGTTATTCATTTGTTTATATTTGCTCTGTTATCATCTAGATCTTACTGTCAAGGAACTGGATGTGAAGAATTTAATGATGGTGAAAAGTCTTGCAGTATATTCAAAATACATTTACTGGTTGGATTATAAATCTCGAACATTAAATCGTGTGGACCGTTCCACGGGCAGGGATCATGAATTGATCCAAGGGGATATCAAAGAACCCTCTGACGTTATTATTGTCGATAAATATTCCTTTGACGGTGAGTGAGACATAACGCCATATTTTGGTCTATCTTAAGACTTATAGAGGCTATAATTCTCTTATTATGACGATTGATCTCTTATATGTTGTTGTTTTGAAGTTATCCATTGCAATCCGTCGTTTTCGCAGTTGATTCGTGACTTTTCGCTATTTTCAACATTTCTGTGTTTCCATTTTTACAGTTCGTCATCCTTGTCTGTGGAATACTTCAAAATGTAGTCATATATGTTTCATAAATCATGACAAACCGATGTGTTCATGCCCTACTTATCTTATTCTTGGAGAAAACAAGCGTACTTGTCAATGTAAGTGTTTCCACTTTTATATTGTGAATTACCTGAAGTATATTTTTTCTTGCCGCTTATTGTCAGTACGTAAAAAGTTTTTAGTTCAAAGTTACCATTGAACAAAACTTTCACTGATGTTTTATCTTTGGAGCATTCATATTATTTTTATTATTATATTGAGTTTTGTATATTACAGTGCCTCCGACGTGTAGTCCGAATCAATTTCAATGTAAAACTAATCAATGTGTTCATTCTGCATGGAAATGCGATGGTGAAGTTGAATGTAAAGACGGTTCTGATGAAGAAAACTGTCCTGGTTGTGAATCTGATCAATATCAATGCGCTAATAAGCAATGTGTGGCAAGGAAAGAATTATGTAAAGATCACTCTTGTACAAGTACTCCCGGCTCTTGTGGTGAGGAACATTTTTTGCTTCTTTTTGCTTCAGTGCAACTATATGCGTGATGAAATATGTCGAGGTTTGTTTGAATTTTTTGAACTTTCTTTCAGGATGTAAGGAAGGATACTTTCGATGCAACACAGAGAAATGTTTTCCATTGCTTTGGAGGTGTGATGGCATGAATGATTGTGACGATGGAAGTGACGAAAGCTTAGAGCTGTGTGGAAATAGTAAGATTAACGGAATTGCATTATTTTCTTCTTTTGCTAAATTGAAAATGACTTCATTTGTGTGTTATTCCTCAGAAACTGCAACAACCCCAAAGAAAAGTCGAAAAGTGAAGATTCGTACAGATGGAAAATGCTAATTGTGTTTTCATGTGTAGCAGCCACTGTGTTCATTCTTGTTCTTTTTGCCGTCGTTAAACGAGCTAAAATGAAGCAAAAAAGTTTGTATTCATCACCGTTTGTGCAAACCACAGCCACTTATAACGTCGAATCCTCGTACATTTCCGAGACACAGAGTTTATCGAGAAGAATGTTGGAAGTGCGGGCATCGATATCATTGCAGAGTGTTTCTAATGATACAGGAGATTCTTTTTACAATCGCGATGATCTCACCGGTCAATCAAGATCAGCAGTTGGTCAAGTATATCATAGTTCATTAACTAACCCACCTCCTTCTCCTGTGACGGAGCGTTCACATTTCACATCTGTATCAGGAAAATATTACGACACTCCATCGCCCTCCACTTACGAACTTCATGTATATCATCGACCCGCGATGCCAAATTATTCAACGCCAGTCACAACAGATATTGAATCATCTGTGTCCAAGTATATTCAATACAAGCAGACATCGAGTGCTTATTCTTCCTTCTCCGATGTTGATCTTGACGAGGGGGACATTCGTGCTCCACCCCCCACTGTATGCACGAATTATTTCTCCGAAGGTTTACATTTCTCAGACAACGAGGGACCTCCACCTTCTCCCTCGAGTGACATGGAGTTTATACAGGAGCCTGAACCTCCACCTCCATCACCTGTCACTGATAGTCCGTCGGTAGCGTAACATTTAGTATTTACGGCAATACGCCCCGATCGTCGCTGGAGGACTGAGTCCAAGTGTATCAAGTCGCAATATCCCTGCTCTAATAAAATGGCCGCATACAGCAGTGACTCTAGGGAAGTTGAAAAATTATTCCGCATAATGCTTGTACATGAATGGCATATAAATACAATATGTATATAAATCACCACAGACTTTTATCTGTGCTTTTATCGTTTTTATATAAGTTCGTTCTACGAATTACGGTGCCGACTAAATATATAATATATAAATATATAGAAATATACATACATATAAACGATGATAGAACTGTGTATTTTTTTGGAATAAGAAATTTTTTACCGAATATATCAACTCGGGTGTTTAGTTCAACTTAGCATACTTAGCTAGACCTTTTCAATTGCTGCCGTACACGGGGTAAAGCCTCATTCTGGTAAACTTAATTATTTTTATTGAGGTGGACTAACTTCAGTAAGACTCAAAATATGACTCTAACAGAATTTTGCTTTTAACTCTATGACTACGGCGCCGTAGAATACCAGTAATGCAGCCATTACTGATGACTTTCTTTATCCCATAAATTTCGATGCAGGCTGCGTACAAAAACAAATTTACCACCAAAATATAGCTTAGACGATGTTCTTCTTATCTGCGAAATTTCAGCTGCTTTGATAGCATTTCTTACGATTTATTTAGCTTTGAGTAAATGTAAACGCAGAATATTTCAAAAACGTGTCCCTTCAAATTCCCTTAAAATTTTTATTTTGATGTATTTTGCTTAATATTTATCCAAATTTCACCATCTAAACACTGAAAGAATCGCCAATGATCGTCAAGAATCGTCAAATGACTCTGCAAATGACTATCGCGAAGATTGTCGAAACAGTCCTTCTCAGGACTCTACTAACCTGGACGATCTACATCTACAAACATGTAACGATACTCCCGGGTTCAAACCATTTACTTTATTATAATTTTATTCATATACTATGCAAAGTCTTGTCTATTATTTATATATGTACTCTGAAGATTTCCTAAGTGAAAAACGGAACGTTCGCTAAAGTTAATTTTATTTAAAATAGTTTTATTGTTAAATGAGTGTTTAACAAATTATTTGCTGGGCAATGATCTTCATTTAAAAATTAAATACCTCATTGTAAAGCATTTTAAAATAACTTTCACATTATCAATATTCTATCTAATATTTGTAGTTCAATTTAGAATCTACAGTCCAGCAAAGAATCTGGTACTTCCACTTGTAACAGTGGACTCACCAATTTTAAATGATCAATTATTTCTACTGGCATTAAATTGTGAGAAAAATCATTTTGTTCCGAATCTGCTTCGTTAGAATTTTCTGGTATTGTAAAAATATTGTCCGTACATTGTCTTAAATAAAATTCATTCTGCTCTGATTTCACCGTAAACTTATTATCTTCAATGTCATTTCCAGCATACTCCATATTTTGATATTCTTGTGCTGAATGTCCTCTGAAAATGTCATATCCTGATGCTGAATGATTATTGCTGTACAAATCAGATAGTTGGTTATGCCCTGAAGGGTCTTGTAGTATAACGTTAGAAAAATATTCTTGTAATTCATCGTCCATAGTTAACAGTTTTGAAGAAGTTTCAATGTCATCTGTGTCCACCATTTTATTCTTTATATTAACAGAAAAATCAGTCTCAGTATTCTTCCTTATATCGCATTTTTCATCAACATCACTTCTGTTCTCAATCTTATCTTCCATTTCATCAAACGCCATCTCTTCTTCAAAATATCCTTCTTTCTGACCTGTTTCATCTTCACTACAGTCTGTCTCGTAATCACTTATATAAACATCATTTTCACTATTATCAATATTTGTTAAAACTTCCGGTAAGTCCATTTGCTCTTGTTTTATGGCTTCGTTGAAATTTGGACAAAATGTCTCGGCGAATGATGGTAGTTTTTCGTTACTTGCAAAAATGTAATCTACCTTTATACACCGTGGTATTCTAGTTTTGTCGAGAAGTTTTAAAATCTTTTTCCGAAGCTTAAACATTTTACTTCTGCCGGCTTTTGTTTGAAAACCAGATTCGTTTACTTCGCCGTAAAAGCTTTTTCTTTAACTGATGTTTCATGAATACATTTGACTTGATTTATATTTTGGGATGAAATATTTTCTGACCCAAGCTTTTCTTTATAATCATTTAGTCTAGCATTCTTATTGAAGCATTTGTTAGCGTTTGAAAAGTTAAAGTCAAACAATGTAGTCATATTTGCTGGTGGTATTTTTATACTTTTTTCTTCTTTATTCGTTACCTGTAATGCTTTGTTGTCAACAATGAAAAATGGTTTATTTGATTTTTTTGAAGAGAGATCTTCAATATTTCCTTGAGTGTTGAAATAAGTAGAAATTTCAGATTGTGTCTGTGTTTTTGCAACAAACTTATCGTCATTAAAGATGTCGTTATGATTTCTCAATATTCCCGCATTGTTTATATTATATTTTCCATGTGTCGGTACAACCTGTTCATGATCCTTCAATGAAATGTCTTCTCGCCATTTTCCTTCTTCGTTTAGAAAAGATATCCAGTTGAAATCGTCAGATTGTGTCTTTTTTTCGAAGTTGTTCTTGAAAATTTCTGTCGGAAAACAGAGATCAGGCGATTGGAGGCAAAAATCTGGAGTTATTTTACATTCAGGAAGCTGAAATAAGTCGCCATTACCAATGTCTTCAAAAGGAAATAGATATCGATCCATGGAAATTTGTTTGACAAATTTATAACTTAGTTTAAAGACAAAATTTCATCAATTTCTTACTACCAACAGTAACGGTTATAACCCCGTCTGTGTGACGAAAAATCGCACGATTATGATCTGATTGGACAAATTTCGTTACATTGTATCTGTATCTAGTCATGCATGATTAAACTAAACTTTTATTTGATGCTTTAAGTTAAGTTAAAAAAACAAGCGTTGAAATCAATATGTCTACGATACTCCATAAGTTCTCTATTTTCCGGTGTCTCAGCAATTGTTTCATTTTAGAAGGAACTTTGCAACCACTATAAATTAAAACACAAAGTGCATGACGAGAAATTTTCTTGAACGGCAGGCTAAACGTTTAAGTCGCATTTAGGACGAATGTTTTTTGGAACAAAAATAGCTACTCTTAAAACTTATCTTTTATTTCCTTTTTTCAACACGTTGTGAGCCAGGTTATTTTGAATATTAAAAAAGATGTTCTCTCTTTTCTTTCAGAGGACTACAATTTATAGAATTTGTGGAAAAAGAATATGGAAAGATCATTTAAATCTCCACATTTTTTAAGCATAATGACTCTGGTAAACATGTGGATTGAGCCCGACGAATTCCTTTTGCTACTACATATTTAAGTGTTTGCTAGGGAATATAAGTTTTAATAATTTAAAATTTTTATAGCCGGAATAAAGTAGCAATTGTTGTTTCGGCGAATAAATGCCGATAATCCTGGAATATTCTTGTTTAACTCAATCTCAACTAAGAAACATTCTAAAAGAAACAATCCCTATACCATCATATTCATATTGCAAGGGTTTACAATTTACATATGCATAATTATAACGAAGTTATAAAAAATTAAACCAAAGACTATAGTCCATGAAATTTTAAACCAAACACTATAGTTCATGAATTTTTACACCAGAGACTATAGTCTATGAAATTTTAAACCAAAGACTGTAGTCCATGAATTTTCAAATCAAAGAATATAGTCCATGAATTTTCACACCAAAGACTATAGTTCATGTATTCTCACACCAGAGACTATAGTCCAAGTACTTTCACACAAAAGACAATAGTCACACCAAAGACAATAGACGAATTTCCATGCAAATGACTATCGATCACGAATTTTCATGCAAAAGACTATCGATCACGAATTTTCATGCAAAAGACTATAGTACAGGAATTTTCATGCAAAAGACTAAAGATCACCCATTGACATGCAAAAGACTATAGTACAAGAATTTTCACGCAAAAGACTATAGATCACGAACTTTCATGCAAAAGACTATAGATCACGAATTTTCATGCAAAAGACTATAGATCACGAATTTTCATGCAAAAGACTATAGTACACGAATTTTCATGCAAAAGACTATAGATCACGAATTTTCATGCAAAAGACTATAGTACACGAATTTTCATAAAAGACTATAAATCACGAATTTTCATGCAAAACACTATAGTACACGAATTTTCATGAAAAAGACTATAGTACACGAATTTTCATGAAAAAGACTATAGTACACGAATTTTCATGAAAAAGACTATAAATCACGAATTTTCATACGAGACTATAGTACACGAAATTTCAGGCAAAACACTATAGTACACTAATCTTCATGCGAAAGACTATAGTACACGAATTTTCATGCAAAAGACTATAGTACACTAAATTTTTTTCAAAAGACTATATTTCACGAATTTTCATGCAAAAGACTATAGATCACGAATTTTCATGCAAAAGACTATAGATCACGAATTTTCATGCAAAAGACTATAGTACACGAATTTTCATGCAAAAGACTATAGATCACGAATTTTCATGCAAAAGACTATAGTACACGAATTTTCATGCAAAAGACTATAGTACACGAATTTTCATGAAAAGACTATAGTACACGAATTTTCATGAAAAAGACTATAAATCACGAATTTTCATGCGAGACTATAGTACACGAATTTTCAGGCAAAAGACTATAGTACACGAATTTTCATGCAAAGACTATAGTACACGAATTTTCATGCAAAAGACTATAGTACACGAATTTTCATGAAAAAGACTATAAATCACGAATTTTCATGCGAGACTATAGTACACGAATTTTCATGCAAAAGACTATAGATCACGAATTTTCATGCAAAAGACTATAGTACACGAATTTTCATGCAAAAGACTATAGTACACGAATTTTCATGCAAAAGACTATAGATCACGAATTTTCATGCAAAAGACTATAGTACACGAATTTTCATGCAAAAGACTATAGTACACGAATTTTCATGAAAAAGACTATAGTAGACGAATTTTTATGAAAAGACTATAAATCACGAATTTTCATGCGAGACTATAGTACACGAATTTTCATGCAAAAGACAATAGATCACGAATTTTCATGCAAAAGACTATAGTACACGAAATTTTTCCAAAGACTATATTTCACGAATTTTCATGCAAAAGACTATAGATCACGAATTTTCATGCAAAAGACTATAGATCACGAATTTTCATGCAAAAGACTATAGTACACGAATTTTCATGCAAAAGACTATATAGTACACGAATTTTCATGCAAAAGACTATAGTACACGAATTTTCATGCAA